TCCAATTGTTTCAGTACTGTCCTGTCAGCTCGTCAGTATCCTGGCTTGTCAGAAGAAATAAGGTACAAAACAGTATTAACCTTAAGTCTTTGTGGACAGATGCAACTACATGGGCATGTTTCTGGCAGCTGCTGTTTCATTCAGCGGTGATGGAAGTGGTGGTTAGGTCACCTTGGAACTAAGCGTTGAATACTGCTGGTTTCTATACACTACATCACCGCCTCCCAGAAGTGACCTTCCAAAATTCTGCATAGCCCTGGGATCTGTGCCAGAGTCAGAGAGCTACAGTACATGAACAGGGATTATGTTGTGATGAGAAATCGGCATTGGGTTACGTTTCTGATTAATCACGGAGTCAGAGTTCACAGCTGTCAGCATGCTCTCAGCACAGTAAAGGCAACTCTTTGTTTGTTTATTTATTTATTTTAAATTCAACCATGGCTGTCTCTCATATTGTTGAGTTTTCTTCATGCTGGTCTTTGTTTACCTGCTGTCAGACGAGTGTGTAACTGACAGACCTCTCAGCCATACTATCAGCCAGAGTGATAAGGTCAAGTTTTCTCCACCCCCTCCTTTCTCTGTCATTTAAAAGCGCACACTTCGAATGGTGTCTTCTCTCCGTGTCCTCATGGAGCTTCTGAGATTAAACTTCCCTTCCTCTCCGTTTAGATAGTCCCCCCAGCCTGCGTTGTCTCCCCGTGGTCACTGGGATGTTTGTAAAGCAGGCGGCTCCATCATATTTGCCATTCTGATCACCATCACACTGTGATGTCCCGTAGCGGGGCTCAATAGAGTGCAATGGAGAAGCGGGTCGGCGCAGCGAGAGCTGGCAGAAACCTTGTAGATCAATACTTTGGGCCGATGAGAGAGCTGGTGGGGAGGTGGGCGATATCCTACAACAGCTGCAACAACAGCAGCAGAATCAAATAGCACCCAGTCTGTGAACTGTCATGCTAAGGCCAAAAGTCAATAGATATGTCTAAATACACACACAGAAAGGGTAAGCATGGGTGGCCTGGTGGCTTAGGGACTGAAGATGCTGACCATGTAATCACAACCTGGTTTTAGTCCAACCAAGTTCTTCTGTTGTCTCTCATCCCCGATCTCTTTCCTCTTCTTTCTCGTAAAGGCTAAAAATTCAAAATTGCACAATAGTACAATGAATTTTACAGAAAAACAACTTCACATTATCGTCAAGTTGAAATTCCAAGATGGAGATAATAAGAATTTATGACAGATGTGATGTCTTTCACTTTGTGAAAACAACTACAGAAGTGTCAACAAACCTGTTGCCAAATGGCTATAAAGCCATCATTGCTGGCAGTTCTACAAAGGAAATGCAATCACTATCACTATCAGTCGCTTCATCTAATTAAAATAAGCTATTTACTGTTTGTTTGTGGTTTTACTTGTTAATGAAATGCTTCAAACAAGTAGCATGATTTGTTAATCTGATCTAAATTTACTTTTATCTGGTTCACTCTTTTCATCTGCCTTTGCAAGAATCTTAGAAACTAGTTTGCTCTGTTACAACAAGCTCTCTCTTGTTTCCTGACATATAAACAAATCTGCATTTGCAAAGTAAACGATCTGAGGGTTTTTTAGTATAATCTCACTTGTTTTATTGACAATGCAAAATGCAATGTAAAGACCTGGGGCATCATTTATAAATGGTTCAATGCACCAAAGAAGGCGTACGCCACTTTCTATGCAAACTTTAACGGGAGAATGTGCGATCCTCCATGCAAATTCACACACAAACTGGAGAAATGAGAAACGCGTGGCTAAAGGATAAAATGGTTTAAATAGGATACTGTTGTGTAAAATAAATTGAAATATTAGTGTTATATTAAACTTAATATAATTTAATATTATGAGGAAACTTTTGAGGCCAATTAACAAACACCTGTCTGATATTCTCTGTGCAAGTGCAAGTCGTTTAAGGTAATTAAAAAAAAGAGATATCTTATACTGTTTGACTGATAATCCCAAAAAGAACAATGATTTAGGATAATAAACACTAACGGAGATATCCGGAGGGATCATATTCAATTTAATCTGTAAGAAATACTTGCATACAATGCAATTTATTATCATAAATAAGGTGAACAGAAGGACAAATTCCGTTTTAAACTGATGCCGTTTTCAGTGCCTCAGTCGAGCAAATATGAGTGCATAGTTTCATATATGAAATGTGTGAAAAATGCGTATGAAATATATGTGATGCGTTGCACTACACTATTTATTAAGTTGATCTTTCAGTGTACAGCTTATGTTCCATAAAAAGAGTCATTTTTCTTTTAACTCTTCGGCAGCCTTGTTATTTATGTGAAGTGTTTGTGTAAATAAATGTTTAAACACAACTTGAATGCATTTGGTTTACCCTCTTTTCAAACGAGGGAATATAAATTATGTAGGTCATCTAGTGCATCTTGCATGTGCCCACCCCCCTCCCCACCACCTCCGTCACTACTCAGGCGGGATTCACTTTCCTGCAGATCGCTCAACAAGGGGGTCGAGCTCCGGTGTCCCCTTTCCTCCAGTGTACAAACGTTGTGTGTGTGTGTGTGTGTGTGTCCGTGTTTTGCCCACTAAACAACATCTTCTTTTTTGCTTCACCCTCCTCAACAAGAACTTCAATCTAACACTGGGAGAATTTTATTTATTTATTTATTTTTTGCTTTTGTGGTCAGAATTTGCCATCCCTATCTTCATGCAATCAGTATGTATTAATATTAATTAGCGGTGCCGCTACGTGGATTGGACAGAGCCAACCTAGCTGTTTGTGCTTCCAGCTAACGAGCATTGATCTTCTCATCTAACTCAGCAAGAAAGCAAATGAGCCAATTTCCCAAATTCCTTTAAATGGTCTTGTATTGGTGTTTATGTGATTGAGGTTTTTCAACATATAAGTCACTGGGAAAATTCAATTCAGCATGATTTATTATAATTGGCAACTAATCTTGTTGCTGATGTAGTAAACCCATTTTACTGTATGAGGTTAACGTATTATGCTCAAAATACTGTTTGACCCAAGACTGCTTGGGTTGATGAAAAGGACGGAGAGTTTCTCAGGCAGGCAGAGAAAAGATGGTATAAATGCTTTAGGGAGGTCAGTTGGTCCATCGCTGTGGCCCAGTTCCTCACATGAAACCCTTGTCCCTTGTTTGGGAGAAATGTGCTAATCCCCATGGGCCCACTCTGGGTCCCAGCCAGCCTTTGAAGACAAAAAGAGCCAAAAAAAACATCGGCTTTTGTTCTTCAAACAAGCTTTTGTACTCCTAACCTCTCTCTGAGCTTGTATTGTACAGAGCGGTTATGATCCATTATATAATGGTTGCTGTTATGACACAGTTTCCTCTGGAGGTATTGTATAGTAGAAGATATGCACAGTGGCCTTCTCAACTATGCAGTGATTGAAGTCTTCGGTATGAAGCTGTTTGCCTTCAGTGTTTTTTATTGAACATGCAGTGTAATAAATGGAGTAGAGGAAGGATCCAGCCCTGCGTGGGCCTCCTGACACCTGATACCAAAGCCTATGTGCGTCAAGCTGCGGGATTTGGAAAAAGAGCACATGATGTAGGCAGTCAGATGATAAAGCTATACCTTACATAAGAAACCCCCTCAGTCAGTCAGTAAATAGCATCAACTAAGGGAAGGCCATAGAGCAAAAGTGTGCTGTCTCTAATTTTCTCTTTCTGATGTCAGCCGACTGTTTCATTGCCTTGTCCTTAATTGAACTTTAGATTGGCAACATTTGAAATTAAAGTTGTAATCCTTAAGGATTCAGTCCTGGTTTATTTGACAACACCTGTGGTTACTGGTAGTAAAACCATGTGTGGTTTAATACTACAGCAAACTGCTCGTTGAGCAGCTATGTTGTCATTAATGATGCTGGATTACATGTTGCATCGTTTCCTGTGCATCCCTTGTACTGAAAGGGTGGACTTTGTCAATAAAAATGCAATAAAAACCACTGTGTAGAGAGGGAATTACTTAACGTAAACACATTGAATGGCTTTTGCAGAAAATAATCTGAGCATACATTGGATTAAAAATGCAGTTTGATTTCGTGGATGGTTTTAAGCACTACGAATAAAAAGAGATCATATTATGCTTTTTGGCCTTTTCTTTTATTGTGTTATACATGTTTTTTGTGCATGCAATTTTGCAAAGTGAAAAAACCCAAAGTAAGCCCCAAAAGGTTGCCATCTCCTACAGAAAACACTGCTCCTGAACTGCCTGAAAACATCTTGTTTGTAGTCCAGCCTTTACTTCCGTAACACTTTGTAACACTCATAATGTTCGCCTAGCAGCTAGTCAGGCACGCCCTCAAAAACACTGGTCGAGAAACGCACTGAGCTGCAGCACACACAGTGACAAGACAGGGTTTTTGCATAGAGAACAGAGAAACTTTTGGCGCCCCCCCGTGAGGTTTTAGCAAGCGCCAAAGGAAAATCACCAGCGCCAAAATGATCAGAATTGGAAAAAAAAAAGCGTTTCATATATTCTCCGAATGTGTTTTAATGGCCATTTATCAAACCACTGTGGAGCAAGCAGAACATAAAAACTTATATATATATATATATATATATTCGGTCATATGGTAACTCATTGCCTTTACTGCGCGTGTGCCGATCATACTTACTGTCCTGCGAAGTCATCCCCCAAAGGCCCGTTCTCAGCCAGGAACTTTAACTTTACGTATGAAAGATCCATTTGTTACTCTGCTTCTAATTGGCTAGTAGTCCTTAGCTAGGTACTGCCAAGTGCAAATATATCAAGTATCAAATATAGACGTGAGATGCTTCATAGCTTAAGTGGAGCATTGAACACACAGGGTGAAAAGAGTTGCTCCAGGTGCACTATGACAAAAATATGGTGTATTTAAAAAAAAAACAATACTGGTACAACCCCTAAATAAAATTATGAACCTGTTGTGGTACCGTGTTGCCTTCATGTCACTTTCTTACACCTTTCTTCCTCTCCTTTCCCCTCAGACCTGCATATCATTAGCACAGATTTGTGTGAAAACAAGAGGAAGGATGGTGACCTTGGAAACCCCAGAGGCTCCTGTACCTCTGACCCCGCTGTCCCGCTGGTACCTCTACGCCATCCATGGCTACTTCTGCGAGGTCATGTTCACAGCGGCCTGGGAGTTTGTGGTAAACTGCAACTGGAAATTCCCTGGCGTGACCAGCGTATGGGCGCTCTTCATCTATGGCACCTGCATCCTCATCGTGGAGCAGATGTACCTGAAGCTGCGCGGCCGCTGCCCCGTGCTGCTGCGCTGCATCATTTACACTTTATGGACGTACCTGTGGGAGTTCGGTACAGGGCTGCTGCTGCGCCAGTTCAACGCCTGCCCCTGGGACTACTCCGAGTTTCGCTACAACTTCATGGGACTGATCACGGCCGAGTACGCCGTGCCTTGGTTCTGCGCGTCCTTCATCGTGGAGCGCTTGGTCATCCGCAAAACTCTGCGGCTGCGCTTCCATGAGGGACTCGAGGATGGTTGGTCAAACCATCAGTCAGATGCTGGGGGTGGAGGAGGAACTGTGGGGGGTGGGAGGAGGAGAGAGAGGAGCAGAGGAATGGGAAATGATGCTAACGGCTACCTTAAAGGAGAATGAATGAAAGAATATAAGGAAGGACACAGTCTGAAACCAGCCCAGTTACCCTGCTACACCTCTTCTACCCTCTTCAGGCACTTTTCATAAGCAGTCCTCCCCCTTAACATTATGGGGGAAGACAAACAGACGGCTGTGTAGACTGTGCTGGTGTGCAGAGGTATACAGATTATCAGAACAGCCAGAAAACAAAACCTAACTAGGGCTTCAAATGCCCAGATCACTCACTGTGCTCTCTATTGTCAACAGAGGCACAATAACTCCATGCTGCTGCATCTCATAATGCACCCAACCATTTCCATGTGGGGCTGACCAGGATTATACTTTCAATATCTCCTGTCCAATAGACTGCAAAGACCTCGGGATAAAAAACACCAAACAACTACTATTACAAAGATTAGTGTTATCGTCCTGTGAAGGAATTAATAATATTTCTGTTTTCAGGGGCAAATCAGTCATAGAAATGCAGCATAGAAATCCTAATAAAAAGTAGCGACAGGTGTAACATGTTCTTTTTAAAATGTACATATTGTCCTTTAGTATTATTCAAAGTACTGTAGTGATGTAGCTACAAAAAGCTCTTTAAGAACGTAGTGTCCACCCCTGAAGCAATGCTCCACGTGTCAGCTTACATCATGAATGTTTCTCTGCAGTTTGTGAATACCCACAATGCCTGGAAAAAATGCATGAAAAAAAAGTTGTCTTCCAATATAATATAAAATTTTTACAGCACTCATCCTGCAGTCATACTGTACGTCTCTTTAGTCAGTTTGGTGCTTGTGTCTGGGGGGACAACAGTAGCTCAGGCAGTAGAGCTGGTCGACCAGCTATCATGGGTCGATTCCCGAGTTTTCTGCTCCTGACAGCATGTTGAAGTGTCCTTGAGCAAGACACCGAATCCCCCCCAAACTGCTCCCAGTGAGCAGGTCACAGCCTTGCATGGCTGCTTCTCCGCCATCGCTGTATGAATGAGTGTGTGTGTGTGTAGGCTAATATGAGGCATTTTGAAGCGCTAAATAAATGCACTCCATTTACAATAATAGCAGGGGCTCTTTTCTGTTGATGGCAATTATTATCATGAGCTGCAGCATATAGCACCAAACCTCTTAGCAATTTCCTCTTTACTGTTTTTCAGAAAACCTTTTTCATGACTCACTGTCTGCATGCGTTTTTTGTGTGCTTTATTGTCGTCTTAGATCTGCCAGGGTCACATAAGCCTCATTACTTAATTTTCATTCACTGGAAATCAGTAGGAACTCCTGTCAAATCATACAGTTTGCCTGTGACTGTTTTTTTCCCCTCACGTCTGTTGTCACATTATGAAAAAAGTGTTTCATCAGTGATAAAATACTGCAGAATTTTCTATTGTACTGTAAGCGTGACAGCAATAGTCAATTTTGAGTGACACCGAATGCCTTGAGTAACTGAAATGGTTTAGGTTTGTCGTCAGGTTTCCCAGATTTGAGGTTTTTGACTTTAAGAACAAATGTCACATTTGTAAGTTTTGGCCATCAGAGCATTTGTTCAAATAAAGAGCAGGAAAAATGCATCATATTATTGTAATTAATGAATTAATTAACAAGTATCAAACTTTGCTGCTCTTTTCTTTCCAACATTAATGATCTGTGAGTCACAATTGGTTTGGTTTCATTGTGTAAAAAATGGCACACTATGCTGCTTTATAGTGCACGCAATCCACATGTTTAATTATAATTTAAATTGTAGGGATGAGCAAGTACAGTAATATCTGTTTCTGTTCAACAAATTAAATTATCTGGACTTGGAATGGGCGGAGCTTAACCTGGCCGTGTGGGCGGCACTAACCGTAAGTTAGTTAATTAAGCCTGAAATTGGTATGGGTTGATCAAAAGTTGCTATATTTATTAGAAAAGTATTTACAGAACTGCCTCAGAATTGACCTTCAGAGCAACATTTTTGATTACAATAGTAAGAACAACTTACCAAAAACCAAAAAGTTTCCTATATTTATAGTTTATTTTTTAACACATTTTACACATTTTACTTAATATGTTATCTGTACCGGATACCCGTTTCAACGGAGTACTCGCTCTGCCCTAATAAATTCCTCTAAAATGCTTAAAACAACACTTAACTTCACAGCACTCCTGTCTTACATGCCAACATTTAGACATTTGATGCTCCAAGCCCTCTACTCTGGAAGTAGAAAAAGATGAAGGACTATACTCTCACCTTCATGCACACAGGAGCTGAGTCAGTGGATCTGGTGCTACTGCATCAAGCAGAAAACAGGCCCGGGCACTTCCCTCACTGTACAATGATTCCAAGGTACCAGGGGATTAATGGTGTACATGAAATGGAAACCTGATCGCTGAAAAGTGTTCCTCAGGAGGATCATTTATGTTGTAGATAATATTTTGTGCAGACTATGTTAAACTCAGCAACCCCACCCCACCCCCATTTTAACTTATAATAGGAAAAGCAGATTCTATTTAATGTTTCCACAACACTATTATGTAAATGTGTGACCTTCCTCATTGTGGCTGCAATGGCATGCTTTTTCCCCTTCTTCCTGTGAGTCCCCCTGTGAGTCCAGAGGGCGGATGGCAAGTAGCATCTTCCACTTGACACATAAATTGCTGCCATCCAGTGGATAAACTGAAAACTGCAACTGGAGAACAAATGTTTTCTGTAGCTTGGACAAGAAACAAAAAGACATGAAGTTCAAGAATTCTAAAGATTTAAAAAAAACAGAAGGATATCACATTTTCTATTTTAATCACATTTTTTGTATGTTTTATTGAATACATAATCAACAGGCTTAAAAGCAATAGAGGCTTCTGACCCAGCAATGAGTATTCAGCTCAAGGCCGTTACCTTTTACTCTTAAATCTACTAAACTACATTATGAGAACTAATATGCAGCTGATGCCTTTTATCCAATTCTACTGCTTTGATGAGACAAATCACAAGAATATGCAAAACGAAGTGGATTTGTTCTCTGCAATATGTGAGAAAAGGAGTTAGGTGTGTGTATAGTGTGTTTTGCAGAGACACCTTCTCTGTATGTGCATGTAAAGTATGTTCAAGTATGTTAAAACTGAACTGATTCTCTGGTATTTTTACCTTGACGCTGCATGTCCAAAAGTTTTCAATTACTCCTCCAAATGGATTTTAACCAAGTGATTATTAGCCCCATGTACTGTATGGTATTTTTCCATTGAAATTTACAGGTTTTTAGTCAAATGACTACTGTATATCACTCGTTTTATGTTTTCATGTATGATGCATCAAACTTTGGGATTAAATGTATTTATTTGATCATAAAATCTGTGTGTTTTGGAAACCATTTCATTTTTGTCTGTCTTCCTACTTTATGACCAGATACCTGCAAATTGGACATTCCCATCACCCTCATCCATCCTTGTCAAATGTTAGCATACTAACACACTAAACTAAGATGGTGAACAAAGATTATACCTTCTTAGCATTAGCATGAAGCATTTAATACCACTGTGCCTCACATAGCCACTATCACGGATGGAGAATTGTTTAATTACATCTTTTATCTACAGGATTACAAGTTTTTGGATTATTGCCCCACTTTTTTCTAAAGTGAGTAAAAAAATTATGTATTTCCGGTGGGAATTTATAGGAGTCTTGCCTCCTTATCAGTTACTTTTATTTGGTTTTCTTAGGTACACACTGTGTAAATCTTGTGTCCCACTTTAGCCTACATTTTCTTTAACATTAAGCCAGTTTTACATTTGATACATACAAGTGTTATGTTAATAAAATTAATGATTTAAAAAGAAAAATATTTTTAACCTGTTTACAAATCAAAACAAAGATATCTGCCTGACAGAGTTGCAAACGGCCTAGACATTACTCCATATAGCCATTTCTTAGTAGCTGTGTTAGCGTATTAGCTAAGTAGCATAACTTTTGACTCTAATGTTTGCAAGTTCAATAATGTGATGTGAAAATGACAAATATACATTACAAACTTTAATGCTGGTGTGGGATTCAAATGATTACTTTGAGCAAAATTATGAAGATAGCAGTTACTATTAACAAATAAAACATGGATGCTTATAAAGCCAAGACAGCCATGCTAGCACCTCTGTGAGGCTGTACTGACACACACAGCAGTGCTTTGAGCTAAATGCCAACATCATACTGCTCTCACAGTTAAATTTAACATGCCTGATGTCAGCTGGGATTGGCTCCAGCCCCACACGACCCTGTACACAGGATAAGTGGGTGATGGCTGGATGCTGATGTTAAGGTGGTATGGTTTACCATCCTAATTTAGCATGTTAGCATGCTAACATGTGCTAATTTGCACAAAACACAAGTAGGCCTACAGCTGAGGAAATGTTATAAACCAAAGTATTGACAAATTGAAATTTTGACCTGATGATGGTTACAGATGAAATGTTGGGATCACCAAAATGGCTACAGTTTATTCTGAGGGGAACATGTATGTCTGTCCCACATTTCATTGCATTTCAGCCAATAGTTGCGAAGACATTTCACTTAAAACCAAAAATGTCAACTTGCTAGTGGCCCTAGAGGAAAAGGCAGGGATCACAAAGTAGGGTGCATCCTATGGGGACCATGACAATCCATCTTATTTGAGATATTTCCGTATGGACCAAAGTGGTAGACCAATTGATACAGGTCCCATTTATACATTTATGGAGTGTAGTTTCCGTGCGTCTAAAGGTTAAACTTTATGTACATGTCTTGTCAGCATTAAAATTGGTTGTTACAGTGCCAGCAAGCTGTTTCTGGGCAACAAGATGTTTGTGTGATATTTTGTATTGTATACAATCGTGCTTTGATTCCTAAGAAATTCAATCGATCCTAATATAATAACACCCTACATGCATATTAACACCTTGTGAGGTTTATTTATAATACTAGAATGAAAACGTTCATTGCTGATAAAGGAACAAATTCAGCTCTTGTAGAGAAAACAAAAATGCAGTAGTATGTAAATCTGCAGTAGCTTCATTTGGCCACATGATGGCTCCTTTTCACCAAAAAAGACAAAGCAGCCCTGTTTATTCCCCATGAAGCCACAGGTTGATCCTGAGTCATCAGTCTGCATTTAAAGATTAGTTTGTAAAGGAAGCTGTTTTTATTGCTGAGCTTTCTAAGCAATGAGACAAAGACTGGCTTAAAATATAACTTTGTACAGTTGTATGGTTTAAATGAACCAACATGCCCTCTCATGTCAGTCAATTTTAAATGTTTACTCCTCCTGACCTGATTTATGACAGAATGTGAGATCACCATTATATAAGAACAATAAAAATCAACTAATTTAATTAAACAATGCTGCGATGACAGATTTCCATTTGTGTTCTCGCCTCAAGCAGAAATTTCCATCTCCTCCTCTTGCTGCCACACCTTGTGTCACAAAGTGATGATCTGGCTCATTTGCAAGTCTTGGCAAGTCCTTTATTAGGCTGTGGGCCCCAGGCCCCCTCCACCAAAGCAATGCCTACCTACCTGTATGAGGGTGTGTCCGCTTCACACATTCTGCTGCCCTAATGTCATGAACTTGCTGTGGCCCTGCCTCATTTGACATTGTCAACATGTTGCTTCATCACGCCTCCTCCAATCAGTCACTCACACTCCAAATAAGGAGATTCACAACCTGTAATCTGTGTGGTGGAGAGGACAAGTGTCTTCCCCGAGGCAGTTTTTAGTGCCTATTTTGTGAGTGTGTTGTGTGGTCACATGTTGTGCACATTGTAAAGTTAAGTGTCATGGGGCTTTTCTTGTATGAATTTATTGTTCTCACTGTCAGGTTTCCAGTTTGCAGTCAAGGGATTAATACAAAACAACTTGTGCCCTGACCTCACGGCAACTATAGCCTAACAAGTTTATTTTAATGAATAAATATAAAAAATATCAAAATATATCAACAGAAAAGTATTTTGATGTCCCATTTATCAAAGAGAGACAGTTTGAAGCTCTCTTCTCTTTTCTTTATGGATGTGAGGCTTGTTTTAAAGTGTCTCTAAAATCCTCTAAGGCCCCCCACAAGGCTGGGGTAAAGGCTTTGCTTGGGGTGAGGACTTCCAAACCCAACCAGGCCAGTTTATTAAAGACAGGGCTTTCATCAGTACAGGCTTTACTATGAAAGAAAAACAGGAAAAAGATGGAGCATCAGCTTGATACGCATGATGATCTGTTCAAGTACTTTAATCCTATACTTACCTTTACGAGTAAAATGTATACATAAAGTTTTAAACATAAAGTTTTAAAAGTAAAAGTACTTGGGGTACATTTGGATGAAAAGCTTTTTAAGGGGTCACAATCCTCTGTTAATATTTTTTCTTTTTTGTTAAAATCTAACATTGGGCTAACTACAGCTGTCAAATAAACATAGATGAGAAGAAGTATAAAGAAGCATAGATTTGAAATACTATGGGGAAGTACCTCAAAATTGTTGTAAGCACAGCGCTTGAGTCAATGTACTTCTACCACTGGACTTGACATAACAAAAGCCATGAACTGAGAAAAGATTATAAAAGGGTAGGAGTAAAGGAGGGAAGCAAATATAAGACATATTAGGAACTAAACCTGAATGAACTGACCATCGCTGTATGCAAATAGTGGATCCTATATTGAAGATCCTTTGAGAATTATTAACCTATCAATACACAGGTTGCGTTATTGAACTACTCTAGGAAGATGGAGTCGTAGGCTTACACCACCCGAACAACGGCTGTACACTTGTGGCAATGACATTTAGAATAAAAGACATGTACTATTATGTCCTTAGACCATAATTTGGCTATAATGCAAATAATCTTAGGTCAGTGTTTGCAGTCAGAGTACTTGCCTGAAACATATGGACACATTAAGTTCTTTTATATATTTGTATTGTGATATATAAGTTGTTAATGTAACTAACTGTGTGTGTGTGTGTGTGCAGGTATGAGGGGACGATTTTGTGTAATAAAGTCTGTCAAACAGTTGAATGCCAGTTTGGCATTGGACAGTGGTGGGGCGAGTGACAGCGTCATGGTGCATTTGTTGAGCGTCACTGAGGGTGTGTGTATGGGGGGTGCAGAGGTTATAATGGGAGGGCGAGCTGACAAAATGAATAGTTTCATGAAATCAGGGCAAAACCTTAACATTTGCATTTCCACTGAATCAGAGCCCGCGAAGAAAGAGCCCTCCATTGAGGGGAAACTAGTTTGACGTGTGAATGAGCGAATGCGTCAGGCGTTTGCCGAAACACATTCATGCCTTCACAGCTTTGGACACAGTTTGGGTATTTCGCTCAGATCCTGCTGGAAAACTCAGGCCTTTTTTAGTCACTTTTTCCCTACCGTGTAGGCTGCTTGGCAGTCAGGCCCTCCTGCAGTCAGGGTTGGGCTAGGAGCGGAGGGAGAATGGCTCGTTGATCATGCACTCTTCTTCCTCTTAACCTTACTGTCCTGTATGACTTTACACTGTTCTGGTGAGGCCAAACAAATCCTCACAAATAGCAACCAAACAGATTATTGACACCCATTTGAACCGGGGATGTCGAAGAAGTCAAACTATTTTTCCAGAATGGGGTTTGCTCACGTATTTTCTTGACGTAAAATGGTGTAAATTCATACCAACCCTTCACATCAAACTAAACAGTACCAAACCTATAATAATAAATTTAAGCCCCTCTCCACTCAACATTTTGTTTTTGTTGCTTCACTGTGAAGTAATGTGTATGTGCAGAGTTTGACGCTACTACTGTTTTCTCATTAATCTGCTGAAGAAGGAAAGTTTCTCTGTGCTCACCTTAAATCTAAGTTTAAGACGAGCAGTGAATTGTGGTCCAAGTGTGATGTGGAGACTTTAGTGAAGTCAGAGACATCCTGTGTCCAATAGTTAATAAAAATATTTGTATATTCCTAGATTCTGGATTTTTGAATGAGGGAGAAGAAGTAGTTTTTAATTTATTTTAATCAGGTAATTGAACCTTTTTTCGTGGAAAAACCATATCAGACATAAAATATTATTACATGCAAAGTATTCTATGCTTCTCATGCTTATGATGATTTTAAGTATTTTGTGCCTTTTATTTTGACAGCTAGTGAGAGATTTGAGGGATAACACCTCCAGCCCAGCACTGTGACTCATGAGTTTCACTTTTGCTGCTAAATCCTTTGTGTGACCCACATTAATTGTATCTTGCCATAGTTTATACAGTACATGAATACATGCCAATACTTGAAGATTCTTCAGCAGGAACAACACTTGCAATTGGAGTCTTTGGAAGAACTAAAAATAAGTGTAAAAAAACTTAATTTACAAGGCTCTCTGCTTGCGACTGAGTAGAACTGATTTGTGGATTTTCTCCAAAGTCAGTGAGCAGCCTTTCCTCTTGCCCAGGTGTATTCCCTGAGGTAACTTTTAAAACACGGCCACTCACTATCCATTTCCTGTCTCCAGGCATGTGAAGTGACACACTTTCAGTCTTAAAATTGGCTAAAAATGAGATGACAGATCCTGAATGAAAAATATCCATATTAATGGTAGTCCTCACTCTCTGCCTCTTAACCCGCCAGTTAGTAAAATTACACTTTGGATCTGGCAGGGCTCCTTTGTAAAGCCACAACAACAGGCAACAGGTTTTTGCGCATATTTGATGTTGACAGTTTGAACATGTGGCCAGTCGTTTTGTTAACGGTCACAGCTTATCTCCTGCAGGGCTTTGCATAATGAGTAGGAACAGCACTTTCCCATACTGCTTTACATGGATTTTGTTTAAGGAGTAATTGTTTGAAATAGAAGTGTGTTGAGGAGGAGCTATCACGGCTGTCTCACATGTAGTGTATATCAATTAAGTAGTTAACCAATCAAGAAAAAGTGTTATTGTTATAACAGTTTATTAAGGTACTATTGAATATAAAACTCAGATTCATCGGAGCCTTTTTTGCTGCTGTAGTACAGAGCTCTGGTGAGAAGTGCTTTCATAACCATGCTACATTCAAGCACAACAGATCTACGCCTGAGGTCAATGGAGAACCTGCCAAGATGAACAAATGTTCCACAGCCCAGCCCATTTTTTGTGCTCATTGTTTTCCATATTCAGACTTGGGTTGTTTGCACTGTAAATAATCAGTTCATAACATCCCGGATGTCAGTATATCACATAATTAAAAAAAATGTTTTAATGCATTGCTTCTGTTTTACGTCCTTCTTCAGTTCATTTCGATGCACCCAACTCTGTACTAATATTCACATAACAGAAAAGGATTGAAATGTGAATTCATTTTAATTTTTGTAGATTTTCAGGAAATTTGGTTCACATTTGTGCTAAATTTGGATGAAAACTGTATATGAAGTAGTTAATACTAGCTCCACCTCCAGCAGATGCAACAGCAAAATGCTACTTACACATTGATGCATCATAATGTAATATACAAATCTATTATATTAATCACAGGAGACATTTTTACTTTTGATACTTGATACATTATGTTGATAATACTTCTGTTTTTTGCATGCACACAATGCAGGAACTTTACTTGTAACAAAGTATTTTTACATTGTTATATTGGTCGTTTTACTTGAGAAAAGGATCTGAGTACTTCTTCCACCACTGATTATCCTTCCTGTCCCCTCTCGTGTTTTGTTCCTCTGTCCGATGTGTCCCAGACTGTTCACAGCAGCTCTGCTCTCCAGGTACGCGGCAGACCGTGAATTATGGTAATAGCTGCTGGCAGGAGAGAATAAGAGCAGTTATTAAAATGAATGTGCTGCTGCTTCTCCTGCGGTCAAGGGGTACAGCTGCAGGAGGAGCCTTCCTCTCCTTCAGAGGGCTTCAGTGTGTACGTGTCTTTATTTTTTTTTTGTGCGCGTGTCATCCCTGCTTAATCTCAAATCCAGCTTCCTTTTCCTTTGGCCTTTTCAGATGCAGGTTTTTGGGCACTGATCAGAGTGTCTTATTTGTCCAGCATAGCTGATGCCAGCTTCTCCCCAGTCAAGCAGGCCCAAAGGCCCCAGTCTGCGTTGTGTCTTAACATAGTCAAAGCTTCAAACAGACGCCACACTGTACTGGAGCCTTGGCCCATCCTCTTTCCCTACTTTGAAGTGGGAATCCTTGCACTTAGCACATTCTAATGTCATCATAGTTTGGTTTTGATGGGATCCAAATGCAGGGGCTGGCTCTGTTATACTGGCTCCTTCTGAACTACACATTTTATTCCTGCTGTTTCTCTCCAGTAAACATGACCCTTAGACATTTGGCCACCTAAGCTGCAGTAACTGGCTTGTAATGCCAGCAATGTGTCTTCATGTCTGTTAGCATTAAAGGTAGCACTTAATCCCATTTAATTATCTGCCTGTTGAGGTAGGAAGTAAACATTTAACAGAATATATACCAAACTCTAGCAGTGCCATTATCTGACAAAGTATATAAAATGTTTTAATAACTATTTTTCAGTTTAATAAGATGTATGCAGATCAAGTAGCTGGGCATAATGAGTAGGCTATTTATTATGTTTAGTCGTCTGTTGCTTTTTATATGTGTTTTGACGGCAGCAGTCTTAAAAGGTAGTTTGAGGTATTAGCAGACCATTTATGAGTATTATCCAGTGAAATATCTCTACATCTACTCAATAGCACAAAATATTCTACAGACATTCATAGTTCCCAGTCCAGGACTCCTACCGACTTTTGTGCTACCAACTTTTCCTCTAGGTCAACCACATGGTGATATGGTTGACCTTTTTTTCTTTAAAGGAAATATCTTGGTAAGTATTGGATTGATTGCCATGAAATAACTTTGTCTAATACTTAAATGTATAACCAAGTAGCTGCAAAACCAATGACATTTCCATCACCCTCAGCTGTACGTTGTGTTCAGTGCTAATTAGCAAATGTTAGCTTGCTGACACACTAAGCTAAGATGGTAAACATGGTAAACATGAGGCTTTCCAAACATGAACATGTTGGCATTGTCATTGAGAGCATCTTAGCTTGCTAACGTTAGCATTTAGTTTAAAGCAGCGCCATTAAGTACAGCCTCACAAAACTGCTAGCATGGCTGCAGACTTGTAACTACATTCACACTGCAGGCCTTGATGCTCTACTCCAATATTAGCCAGGTCTGAATGTTTGATTGATTTTTCACATTATTTTTTAAATGTGGCCCATCTCAGACATGAACTGGCAGTGAAAATAATATTATGAGGTACAGAGGTAATGGTCTATGGTTTTATTGTTAAGTTGATTTCAGGTGGAAGAAAGGGAATTCATGAGCAAATTATAACGAGGAGGAGGAAAAAGAAAGTCCCTTGAATATCTCCATCAGTGCCGTCCTCAATGTTTGTGTTCACCACCGCTCCCTCTGACGCAGAATTGTGACGACTGTCTCTCTAGAGGAACGTGAGGTGTCACACAAAACCGTCCAGAATGAGCTTGCATTTCAAAAAATCAGATCAGTATCTGATTTAGATTACATATGAATCTGGCCCAAATTCGAACTGGAAAAGGTCAGATTCCACGTGACTTGGGCTGTTTTCACACTGTTTTAAAAAATGTGATCTGAGTCACATATGAGCAAAAAAAGATTTAGGTCCCTTTAGTCTGAAGTCTGAACAAGGCCTTAGTCTTGTTTAATTGGCATTTAATGATGAAGACTAGCCCGGTCTATCCCTGTGTAAGAACCTTTACTTAACAGAAACAAAAAGTAAAGACATCACATATGTGGATTGTTTCATTAAATGGGTTATGCACAGGTGTCAAAAATATGTTAACAAAAGCAGTGGCAAGTCTTAGAAGTAAAATTTACATGGGATGGGCTACATGGGATAAAAATTAGAGACTGGATGGAGTGTAAGTAATAGTAGGAAGTGGTGGAAGACGTGTACAGTTCACTTGCATAATTTTCCCGCTCATCGAGTTAACTGCCATCTCCAAGTTATTACTTAACTGTATTTAACGGCATTACTGTCACATTACCCGTCTGTTGACACTAATGACAGCTGCGGGTGCACAAACCCTAACGTGTGTGTGTGTGTGTGTGTGTGTGTGTGTGTATTGCTTGTTTGAATGTTTCATAATTCAAACAAGCAAAGATAAGAATCTAACAGTATTACTGAGCCCCCTGAGCCAAAGGGCAGGGACTTCTAGTTGCATAAACCTCCCTGGTCATGATCTTTCCGTCATATTTTCCGACTGTGGGAGAATGACTTGACTGTAGCGGCAAGTGTTTGTTTTCCACGTGAAGCTTCCAAGCCGCAAGTAGTGGTGGTGGCCTAGACTGACACAGGCCTCATGAGGAACTCCAGGATGCCATTAGTTTGAGTGACTGGCTGTGGCTGTGTGTGTGTAGGGCTGCTGTGTTTCTGTTCTGCTCTTGTTGGCTTGTTGCCTCTGTACCTACCACTCTGAGCAGCCATGGCCTTTTTGTTACCCAGGAGTAGCAACACCTGACAGGGACAGTTTTTTGATACAGAAATAGACCTACAGCTGTGCTACTTCAGCTGTGGAGCCTAAGATACTTTAAGAACAGTGGTGGAGGGTAACTAAGTACAATTCCTCAACACAGAATATGCTGACACATGTGCTTTTATGTTAAGATTTAAGAGAGGGGTTTCTGTTTCTGTTCTGCTGAGTGTATATTCCATAATAAAATTACTGAATTAAAAATAAAAAACAACAACAACCACTGAGATTTTATGGGAAAAAACATATACACTTATAAAACACAATGCACTGTTAAGGATTAAACGAGCAGTTTCTAACTTTTTTGGCTTTTAGTTCGGGCCCCTTGCCATAGTACAGATGTCTGAGTCTCCCAAAGCCCCCCAAAATGACAATGATCATCTCTCAACCCCTCAGATAATCTTGTGACCCCTAATTTGAGAACCACTGTACTTTACTGTATATAAAATATATAATGCTACTTACACATTGTTTTGTGAGTAGTAATCTAACATATTTATGAAAATATCAGTCACAGGGGCTATTTATGAATGTAATGAGAACTTTTACATTTGACACTTAAAGTATTGCTAATAATGCTTCTGTACTTTTTCTAGTACAACCTTGAAGTCTTAGAAAAAGAGAGGGCTGCATGAGACAACTCAAATTAATTGGAACTGTAAATGATTTTGTGTTGATAGGGGGCAGACATTATAAGTTTTTACTTCTTTCTGCTCCTTTTAATTCATGTTAAATGCTGTCGTTGCATTGTTTTAAATGAATGAAATAAACAATTTAAATAAATAAATTTAAAAAAACCTTAAACCCAGGATTTTCTTTCTTGCATTGGAGTAGTTTTACATTGTGGTAGTGGTACTTTTACTTAAGCAAAGGATCTGAAAACATCTTTCACCGCTGGTACATGTGTAGTTTTATTTCCAAGACTTTATATCCACATCTTATAGCCACATCACTTCAGCCATTTCAGTTCATACCTTTATCTAGGTGGGTGATCACAACAGCTTGTGTAGCCAGGTCGACTTTTTCTTTTAGTTTCCGCTCAGTGTTTAAACTTCAGTTTTATACGCAAAACGTGCGTTAACCCAAACATCGTGCTGCCTGCTATATGAACCGCCGAGGGGCTTGTTTCTGTGTGCAGGCCAGCCGCTCTACAGGAAACTACAGTGTGGCTGCTGTTTGTGCAGGTGTGCTGCAGTGTGACGCTTACGAAATATGTTGGACGTTCATAGCCTTTGTTTTTTCAACCATTTGGGTCGTTCAAAAAAGCCCCCATTGGAAAGGCAAGGAAAACAGTGTGATTTCCGCCTCGAGTCCATTCTGTGGTTTACCGCTCCCCCTATTTCACTCTCTCAAGCTGGTGAAGCTGAAAGCATGAGGGCACAGTCAGCGTTTATTTATTGAGGCTACTTTCATGTGCGGACTGACAGCTGATATTTCCAACATTTAGCTGTGGGGAAACCTCTGAACTCTGCAGAGAGCCACCTGTGAGCTCTGCCTGGTTATTCCTCCTCTCACAGCAACAAAGATTTTGAGAGAGAGAGAGAGAGTGGGAGAGAGAGGTTGTTCTGTAGCTGGCAACAAGCCAGTACTGAGCTGTCACTCTGTATATTCATCATAAAGGAACTTTATTTGACATATAACGCTGTGGGGCATAATGCTTTGTATGGTTACTCTGGAGAACATAAAAGGGTAACACTTTAATTTAACCCTTCAGTTCAGCATTTATAGGCAATATAAACAGGGTTTCTAACATACTATATTGTAGTTGTAAGCAGAGAAAATTAACATTTTAAGTGTTTAATGTTAATGTAATGTAACTGTCTTTAATTTTAACCTAAAACATAACGTGGATGTAAATGTGATGAGATCACATTGGGCTTTAAGAAAATTGCGAGCGCCAATTTCTAGCTTGTTTTTTGAAAAACGTATTTATAAACAGATACAGTAAACTACTTATCCAACGAAGGTTAAAAATCAAGGGCAACTGGACTTGGTTGAAGATACTGGAAGACGTTTCGTCCCTCATCCAAAGGACTTCTTCAGTTCTGACTGACTGGCAGGGAAACTCAGCTATTTAACCTCAGTGCGGTCGTTGGCCCGGGTCATCGATACCGCTGGTTCGTTAGTGTTCCTTGTTGCTGTGACGACAGTCGTTACAGTCGTTAAGACTACCTGTGGCCAAGACTGAACGACCATCGTTGGTATCTTCACTTGAGGCCAATAGGTTACGTTTGTTGAGTTTCCTGGTCCAGCCAAGTCCAGTTGCCCTTGATTTTAACCTTCGTTGAATAACTATGACCTGGATGACTGAGAATCTTCATAGACAGTAAACTACTTGCTCACATGTGTACTTCATCCTGGTTACCTTCATTGTTTAGTAATAAATACAATAATAAACACTTGAAAATGACCGTATAACGGTTTACAACTGTGTCATAAACCATTTATTAAGAATTTGTAGACTGCCTATGAATGCTAAATATGGCGGGATTAGTGTACGGTGTTATCAATAGTCACAACTTCAGGGTAAAAAATGCCTGCAAAAAAGTAGCAAAAACATGTAATTTGGTAGCAACAAAAACAACATCTGCTCGGTTCACTCGTGTTGATTTTGGTGCAGAGCTCAGCCTGTTTTGTGTAGTCCGACTGTGGTCCTCAGCTTGCCTGTTCCCCTCATGGGAGCTTCCCCTTCTTGCCTGCCTCCCTCCTCCCCTGTTGCACTTTATGAAGCAGTTAAGTTATTTTACATCATGTCTACTTCCCACAACAACCCTCCCCCTTTCTACAAATCTCTCTTGTCATTATGAAAATAGTGCCCCGCTGCTGCTTTGCACACCAGCGTCTGGCAATTGAATGGCCCCTCTGTGGACGTGGACGGTGCGTTTAAAAATGTGTGTTTCATGGAATAGGAGAAGGGAGATGAGTGATTGCTCACAGGTGACTGCTGCACAAGTTGCTCGATAGGAGCTGTGTTGCGTGTGACAGGAGACGTTTCTAGCGTCAGGTGTAATTATGACAAACGACCAGGGTCATAGCTCAGGTGTCTTTGAAAAAGGCCTGAAAAAGGGGAGTACAATACAAAAACAAGTACAGATGTTACAGTGCATACTGCTTGCTCACTCACTGTTTCTCTGCATTATAAGAAGCAAAACAAACAACACTGTGACAGCAGCTCATGTAACATAATAACAGTAAACAGAATATTGTTCAGCTCTCAAATATGTTGTTACTCTACTACTGCAACTCAAAACAGAACATGAATATAGGAACAAGAGTCTACAGCCATGCTAGCAAGTAAGTAAGTAAAGTTTATTTGTATAGCACCTTTCACAGATAAAAATCACAAAGTGCTTCACAGTAAAATGTGATACAATACAACAAAGTAAAATACAATGTATAAGAAAAATTAAATACAGAGGGAAAACATAACAAAAATCATAAAAACCCACGTCTAACAAAAAGCCTGCTTGAATAGCAGAGTCTTCAGTTGCTTTTTAAAAGAATCGACAGAATTCACACAATGTAGAAAGGAAGGCAAAGCATTCCACAGCCTAGGTGCCACTGCTTGGAATGAACGATCCCCTCTGGTTTTAAAATGAGTGTAGGGAACCACTAACAACCTCTGACCTGATGACCTCAAACTACAGGTCGGAGTATGAAGCTGTATCAACTCAGAGATGTAGGGAGGAAAGTTATACTGAATTCTATACTGGACTGGTAACCAGTGAAGTGCTGCTAAAACAGGTGTGATGTGCGCCTTTTGTTAATGTGAGTTAAAAGCCTTGCAGCAGAGTTCTGAACAGCCTGAAGACGGTAAAGCTCCTTCTTGCTAAAACAAGTAAAAAGACTGTTACAGCAATCTAAACAAGAGGAAATAAAAGCATGAATAATCATTTCCAACTCACCCTTTGACACCACTGTTCTTAATTTGGAAATATTCCTTAGTTGGAAGAAACAGTTTCTGACTAGTTGTTTAGAGTGGTACTCCAAGGACATTGCTGAATCAAAAACAACACCTAAGCTCCTGAGGCTCGGCTGGACAGACGGCTCTGTGAGGCACAGTGGTACTTTGAGCCGAAAGCTAACGTCAGAATGCTAACATGCCCACAATGCCAACGTGCTGCTCTTTAGTAGGTATGAAGTTAACCATGTTCACCATCTTAGTTTAGCATGTTAGCATGCTAACACACACACACTGCAGAGGTTCATGGGGATGTCATTAGTTATGCAGGTATTTAAACCAATGTATTGGACAAAATAATATTTGGAGCTTTGGGGCTTGACAGATTCGTTCTTGTACTCAGTCCCACAGTAGACTCTGAGCTTGTTCAATAGGGTTACATAATTTCAAGTACCCGTTAGTACCAATAATTGTTTTGCATATTGATTTAAATACCTTTATCATCTCCAGTTCATTTCTTATTTTTGCTACTGTTATGATGCCACATACGTACTAGTTGAAATTTGTTTGTTAACTGTAAAACTGTAAAAAGCATCAAACCAATTAACAGTAACAAAAAACACTTATTGATTTTATAAGTTATTAGCTTTATGTAATCTATAGCTTAACATTTTGGAAGAACAATTAAGCATGAATTGCTTTACTTTCACTCGATACCCGCGCATCCTATTAAAACGCCCTGCACTCTTGTAGCCTGAATATGGAGGGATTATTTGGTAAATCATTAAAGATAAAAAAAAGAAGATATATTTGGTATGAAACTATGGAAAGTAACTTAGTAAAAGTATTTGGTCAATTTTAGTACTTGACATTTTATCTGTCACGTCCTCTCATGCCACTGAGAATGCCACGAAATCTCTAAACTCACAGGAGGCAGAAATAGTCAAGGCATGATCTGACATGTTAAGCATCTGTGAGCATGGGGTGCTTTTCTTTCCTATATTGATGCAAGTTCCTAATAGTCTTTAATCCCCATCCATCATCTTGGCAGGCCCTTCCCTCCATACAGCTCACTGATTGGCTGAGAGCCAGTGGCCAGACGGTACACTGAGTTCACAGCCATTGTGATGTAACAGTGGGAACTCTACCTGATGGCTCACCTTTTGTCTCTGCTGAGCTCCGTTTGACCTCTAGTCAGCTTTACGTTGGTGATTGATATCGCCTGTAAACACACAAACACACACCCTTCAACCTTTCATTAGCGCTCACAAGGCTCCTTTAATGTTTTGCACGTACACACATACACTCGCACACACATGGACTTTGACAAGTGACAGAGGAGGAAAATAGGTTATGCAAACTGGAATTGCAGGTTTTGGGCTTTCAGCAGCTGCAGCAATGAGTTGTCTGAATGGCTGGATGAGTAAGCAGGTCTGTCTCATTGTCTGTGAGTTAATCACTGACCTCATTCTTAAATTTCCCTTGAAAACAACTTGGTCAGGCTCACATGCAGCTAAGTTTACTGGGTCTAGACTATGACTGTGAAACCAGCGGGGCCCAATTGGGAATGCGGATTGCCAAGAAATCCTGTTCTCATACAGGTTAGTAAAAAGATCTGGTGGAGTTTCAGTGGAATACAAACTTACACTGAAGTTCACAGTAGTAAGTAAGAAAAACATTTATCCTCCGTCTTCTATATATTTATTCAGATCCTTTTCCTTGTTAAATATAATCAGGCCATCAAAAGACCTCAAATGTCTTGCAAGATGTGTTTTTGTAGTCATACGAGTAAAAAAAAATATTTTGTCTGAAAATATAGTTTAATTAATGGTTTTATCAAAATGATGACAATAAAAAGAGACAAAGCTGAGGTGGATGTCTGACAGCAGATTTACCACTGTGAAATTCTTACAAATTTTAAAAGAAAGAGTCCTTGATTTCAGACAGATGTAAACAAAAGCATGCTTCTCATTTCTAGCCAGCAACCACTGATGTAGCCTGCTGAAATGAAAATGGTAGCTGGCAGCCAGCTAGCTAATAAAGCTAACATTAGCTCCATTAGTTGGTTGGTCTCCAAGTTTCCATCTGACACGTATTTAAAGAGCAACTTAACACCCAGTTTTAGCTTTAACACAAGACACACAACACAACACGAAACTCTTGTATAAGGGGTCTTGCTCCTGCTATATACATGATATTGTGCTAAAAGGCTAAAGCTGCATGTCCCAGGTAAATCGTCAATATCCTCACCAGCTGATATATATATATTTATATACACATTTCTAAAAAAAACTAGTTTATCTATTATCTACTATCTAGACATATGAAGCTCACACAGTATGGCTCTGTTTCAAGGCTATACTTTTAGTAGCATCGTTACAAATGTCAATAGGATTTTGAGGGAGGTTTTATTACTTCTTCATCAGTACCCAAAAGCTGTGGTTTATCTTTCTTTAATCCGGTCTGGCTGCTCAGTTTACAAAGTTGTTGTATATTTTAAACAGTGTGTTTTCACTTTTACAGTAATAGTAGTTATAAGGTGTTTAGGATGAGTAATAGGCCTACAATATGTTCAGCAAATGTAATTCTTTCTTGGGAAATGTTGGCTGGGGTTGTGGTAGTGTGTAGTGTAGATTTACTCAAATCCACTAAAAAGCCTACCTAACATTAGCCTAAACTGTGACAAAAATATGAGCCTATCCTTTAAGTAGTGTTACTCATTTAACATTGAATAATACATTTTAGAAAGATATGACTTGCCTCCTGTAACTGTTGAAGGACAGGGTCAGACTGGTGCTACAAAGGTCACAGGGTTATGTGTTAACACACACTCCCAACTACCCCTTACCCTCCCTCCCAGTCCTGTCCAGCAGGTGCCACAATGTGACCTTGATTGGGAATATGGGATTCTGGGAATGTGGGTGTACAAGTGCTGGCCCTTTGGGACAATGTGAGGAGGATCTGTGACAGCGCGGCTGTGATCTAGGCAGGCCCAGGCGTACTGAGGGTGACAGACTGAGCCAGACTGGGCCCCGGGTCACTTTCCACTAGACACCTTTGATGTCTGCTCATCGCTGCTCGCTGACAGTTGGTGCCTTTCTAAATCATCGCCTATCCCACATTACACTGACAAGACCACCCATATCTGAAGAAATGTCCTGCCAGGTTTAAGTTTTCTCAAGAATGCGACCCATCTGAGCATCCCCCAGTCCATCTGGACCCCTCTTAACCTGGGAAACCCTACAATGAATGCAGTCTGTATGTGTTTTTGCTGTGTGGCCTTGTCATTGGGGACAGTTGAGAGCCTCTGTAAGTTAATTCCAAAGTCTCAGTATCTTCTGAAGAAATTCACATGTGCTCAGTTGTGCTCGATAAATGCCATAGAGATTAACTTACATTCGTCTAGTGTGACAAGGAATTCATGCAACTCCAAATATCTGCTTGCTTGAACAGTAAGTCATCGTCATTTCATATTTGGCACACACCTCGACACTTACACAAGACTGGATGAAAGGAGGTTGATGATAGATTAGTTTAAGGGTTCTTTCCTCTAAATTACTGCTGTACTTCATTTAGATTACTTTAACCCCCGTTCACCGTTACTCATTCAGGACAAAGTCTTTTTGTGCTGCTGTTTATTCAGACCAACAGCAGGTGATTGGCTTTGATATGGAAGGCATTTGATAGTGTTTATGGGAGTTTGTTGGAGCAGATGTGAAATGTAAAGGGCTGTTAAAGATGCAGACAAAAGGTAAAGTGCCTGTTTGAGGAGATAAGGCAGAGAGGAGGGAGATAGGGAAGACGGTTATCTGACACAATCAGTATGGGTCTTGAGAGTAAAGCTGCACCTGTCTGTGTCAGTGTGTCATGTGTGTGTGTGTGTGTGTGTGTGTGATTTGTAGAGGAAATGTTTTAAGAGTTCTAATAGCCTATAATGACTTTGTTAGTAGTTGGACATGACAGTCTTTGTGAGTTGACAGGCAGTTCGCTCTGCAGGGACACTGTGTAATGGAACTGCACATTTCCGAGTGGCTTTTTATTGTGGCCAGCCTAAGGCACACCTGTGCAATACCCATGCTGTCTGATCAACATCTTGATATGCCACACCTGTGAGGTGGATGGATTATCTTGGCAAAGGAGAAGTGCTCACTAACACAGATTTTGACAGATTTGTGAACAACATTTGAGAGAAATAGTCCTTTTGTGTACATAGAGAAAGTTTTAGATCTTTGAGTTAAGCTCATGATGAATGGGGGCAAAAACAAAAGTGTTGCATTTATAATTTTGTTCCGTGTAGTATTGACACTGCATTTTATACATGGTTTTATTGATTTGACACTAGTTGTATTCCAGTATTCATTATATTATGTAATGATTTAACGTTGCACCACACTTTATCATTGCTAAGCATTTTAGCATAATTATTTTATGATATTATGGTACTAACACTGGCCAAGGCCGAGACGGGAATACTAAATTTTGCTCTTCATTTTTACATGGCAGAATGAGAATAACTATCCTTGAATCCTAGCTTGGTTTGACGCTAAACATCAGCATGTTAGCATTGTCATTGTGACCATGTTAGCATTTAATTCAAAGCACCTCTGTGTCTGAGTACAGAGCGTCACAGAGCAGCTAGCATGGCTGTCGACCCTTAATCTTGTTTCTGATAAATGACTAAAGATTAGAATCAATTCACAAATAGTTGTTGATAAATATTTTGTCAATCAACTGATTGATCGACTAATCTGAAACTGTGGGGTTTCTGTGTATTTTCCCTGCATTCCTTCTCCCAGTTGTCTGTCTTGGTGTATGTGTGTATAGGCATGGCTGGGTCGTTGCCAGTATAGCACTCTATCGAAATCGAAAGATCGGCAGTTCAATTCCCGGCTCCAGTCTGCGTGTCGAAGTGTCCTTGGGCAAGATACTTTACCCCGAATTGCCCTTGTGGCTGTTCCACCAGTGTATGAATGTGTGTGAATGGTGAATGCGATGTAGTGTAACAGCGCTTTGAGTGGTCGCAAAGACTAGAAAGGCGCTATCATTTACATCTTTAATTATACATGTTTATAAAACCTGAGTGTTTTACTTTCTGCCCTTGTGAAAGCATTTTGTAAAATGGATTTTAAAAAGTGCTCTAAAATTAAAGATTATTATTATTATTATTATTATTATGTTAAGTAGTTCAAAAGGTAACAAATGGATTGAAGAAGATCAGAGGTCATTGGTAGGGTCTACTTGATGAATTAAAGAGGTAAAAAGGAAATGTTCACAACCTGAACAACCCAAAAGTTGTCTGTAATGGTTTATAACTGATCTATACAGCATCAGTAAATGATTGATTAACCACTAGTAAAAGGATAAGTTGCATCACATAAACCCTTAGTAAAGGATGACCTATTTGAAAGTGTGATTGATGCGTGCAAATAGGCTATACAGTTTTAGCTGACACCCGCCAGCCAATCAGAAACATGAATTTTCCTTCGACATCAAAAAACATAATCCCATATACACACTTTCGATTATTTAAAGCATTTCAAAGTTACTTGTAACTTGCTGTAAGATCCCTTTTATGTGCATGCATTTGTTTTTCTGATGCATGTTGTCAAAATACACATTTAAATGCACAAAATTTTGTCACAAAATCATTCTTCTATCAAAAAGTATCAATTTTGGTGTTGGTCTTCATTTCTTTGATTTTCACCGTCTTGTGTTTGGCAATCTCTACCGCCAAACACAGTAGTTGTGAGAAGAACAATAAATCACTGTATTATCTCACTCACATTAACCACTAGACATTTTATGAGTGTGTGACATAAGTCAAAGGTCATTTGCCTCAGGATAGTCATGAAGAGTCTGTGAGCTCAATGTGTGTCACTGATGTTTTGTTGTGGCTCTGCTTTTGATTAATTTGGTAAAGACTATCAAATTGCACCTGTTTTCTCAGTATGTTACACACAAACACACACACACACACACACACACACAGGTAAAACATGCACACCAGCGACCCACTGGAGGTCATATTGTAGGGCTCTGGCTGTAGTCCTCCTGTTCCTCCTTGCACAAACGAGTAGATGGTTATGGTTATGGTATGGTCTCAAAGAGATGCACCCAGAGCGTTTCCCACAGACGCTAAATAACTACACCTAACTCACTTTTTCTGAAAGCATTGGTATTGGATGCCCTAAGATGAGAAGGGTCTGAGTGGCCCGTCTCTTGGTATCTCCTCCATGCTTTTGAGACAGTGCTATATGAGGCACAGAAAACCTTCTTGCAACAGCATCTACCAGTGTAACCTAAATGGACTGCAGGTACCATCTTATGCTGTCAGTAGTGACAAGGAAACTAGCAAAACGCAAAACTAGAGAACAATCAGTCAGGAAAGATAAGGAGCAAGTATTTGTCTTTGACTACCACCTACAAAACCTTTCCCTTTTTGGGGGTTGTCTTGCTGTTGCCTCTCCAGTGCACCTGTTGTCACTTTTAATTGCACCAAAACAAGTGACACTGATTAAAATATACAAACATGCCCTATTTTGAAATTACTTTTTTTTTAGTTCAGATTTATTGCATTAAAATCACACAAATTGAGCAGAGGAGCACAACTGCAGAATCTTTAATTGTTTTGCCTTTAATTACCTAACTAGTGTTTTAACAGCAGCACATACGTAAGCAACCATATCAAATAATGTAATAATATTTAGTATCAGAAACCTGGCAGACCTAATCAACAGTCAACCATCAAGCAGAAGACCCATTGTTAAGCGCCTGTCGCAGACCATTGCTGTGGACCTTTTGGTTGCATCACTGGCATTTGTTGGCCTTTGGTGGGAGTTCAGACTGTGTGCTGCATTGGTGCATTAGTGTGTTGTTTCAGGTACGGCTGAAGTGGTTAATAATATGATTGAGTAATAGATCCATAAGTTTGAAGGCTTATCAGATGGGAAAACACTGAACAGCTGTTTGTAATAATACAAGGAAGTATTTTACAAGATGAGTTATCAAGATGGCCATTCTTTTATCTTTCATAGGGATAATCTACCAGGAATGTGCACTTGCACATATTATGTAGGGCCACCTCAGCACATTGCGATGCAGCAAAAGTTGAGTAAGGTTCATTGTTGTCTGTATTGACGCAACTGATATCTGTCTGAACTTTGTTTAGCCTAGCGAATCATTGACTTTACCAATTAGTTTTTCCCTTTTGTTGCTGCCTCTGTCTGTTCTTTTCTTCTTGCACTTAACACATGTCACCACAAGGGTGGTTACTCAAGGTGGAGGAATCTAGGTGGAAGAGTAATGTGCGCCTGAATTCACCTGTGCATTACAAATACAGAGTACAGAGCAAGCATGCATGTTGGTCTTCAGCTGTATCCTTTTTGATGTGTTAAAAGTTTGACCTTTAATAGAAAACATGAGATGAACAAAACTTTTGATCGGACCGGCTAGTTCTTTGGCTCGGTGCATCTGGGTGGGTGTGGTTTATTTTTATCATAAATTTGAAAGTGATACTAGCGCTATTTTAAGTCATAGTTAAGGACACTTCTTCTTGACTTTTCTACTCTCATTGTAATTATCTAAACCACACCTGTCAGCTGTTAACTTTAATAGTCAAACTGGTATTAAAACATATTTGCTGCTCAGGGTTTATATGGGGCACATGCATATACAAACACAACCAACACGTGACTTTGCAGCAGCAGATTTTGAATATTGATCTGCATTGAAGGGAATGTGTTTTTGTCGGACCTCTGCATACATATATAGAGTTACATCAGCAACAAGCAACAACACAAGGAAAATAGCTATAAAAACAGTGATTTCTTTTTCCATTAAGTATGTCAGCAAAATAGTTTTGTTGTCTATAAAACAAGTGAAATACCCCACAAAATATTCTGAGCTTTTTCCAGTGTTTTTTTTCTTAAAAAAGATGCGAAAACAACCACCCTCCTGTTCAACCACCCCCCCCCCCACCACCACACACACCTAATGTGGCTTAATAGCGGTTTTAAAAGTAGTTTTACAATAATGCTCACTCCGCAGCTTGCTCACAAAGCTGGCAGGCTGGCAGGTCAGAGCTTGTGATTGAGTCAATGAGACCATTATGTTCCCTATGTTGCAGCCAGAGCCTATAACCTGCTCAACTGCTGGCTGGGGAAAAGGCCCCACAGGAAAAGCACAGGAGAAACCCACACAGTTGCATAAGCACGCTCACACTTGTTTAAGCACACCAGTATGAGCACATGGACAGAACCTAAATAGACAGACACACTACACACATACTACATACATTCAGACACAACCTTCACAAATGAGCAGGGACACTAACACAAAAAGTACACAGTCATACTGGAGTCCCTGAAAGGCTGCAATGATCGTTGAAGAACAGAAAAAATGTTTCGTGAAAACTAGACTGGCAACTTCCTATTCCAAGTTAGATACGTACCACTTACTGACCTCTTATAGGGCAACAACTATAAAGTCTGGCCTGAGGGTGGCACCAGAGGAAAAGCCAGGGGTTTATCCTTTGTGCAGTGGTCATTTTCAGAACATCTCAGACTCAGCTTTTCATTCATACACTTGTCTCAGCTTTCAACTGTCTAAGCTGGAGCCTCAGCCCAGCTTAGACAGTCTCTTTGGGACTTCCTCTGACAGAGTCTGATGGAAAAGCCATTACAGTTCAAATGTTAGTGTCGAGCACAGTAGCACATTAGTATTCACCTCAAGGAGTCAGTGTAGGTTTATCTCCATCTTGGAGTGCCTTATCTACTGTGTGACATTCCCAGTAGATTTCCATTAAAAGGTTTAGAGAAGTTGACCAGATGTACATTTGCCAAACCAACCTGTTTGTCCTGTGCCACGCATGGACAAACAAAGATGAGAACCATGCTTAATCTGAAGTGTTTTCAATCAGTGTGTTTCAGTTTTACAAGAGAGTGATAAGGACTAAGGACTGGTTGGCAAACATACATCTGGTTGACTTTTCCACCTCAGATAAAGAGCAGCACACACCCTCTTTTCTAAGCTTTGCATTTGGGACTGTCTTCCAAACATAGCTAATCCTCAAGCTGGATCTCTACTTGAAAAGACTGATGTAGCTTCTGAGTTATAGTTCAGTGTCAGATCATGGTATGGTACATCCCCCAGTTCGGTCTCTGTGTGGTAACTCCGTAGCTCCTCAAAGTAGAATTAGAAATCGAGCTACAACTGTGCTTCAGCTCTTGAGCTTAATACTAATGTGCTAATGTACTCAAAGCTAACACGTGATATATTAGATGGTCAGCATGCTACCATGATATTGTCGGCTTGTTAACATGTACACGCCATTAAAATTCAACCTCTAGGTATTTTCTGGTATTCCATCCATCCAATAGTTGACAAAATATTTCACTCAGGACCAGAGAGTTGGACATCTGCTCTACATTGCTATCTCTAGAGCTACACCACTAGCTTAGCTAAAAAATAGGCCATCCAAAGGGAACAGTTGTTTGACGAGCAGCTGGTTTAAGTTACAATTCAATCGGCATTGTGCAAAACATTTCTATTATTTACCCTGGCTCTAGAACACTGGGAGGATTCGGATTAATTAATCATCTCACTTATTGCAAAATTATATCGAGACTGCCACAGTTAAGTCAAAGGTATAGGCCAAGATAAAATAAAGCTCAGGTAATATTTTTCGAGCTTTGTGATGGACAAAATATTTCTGTGGCAGATTTTATAAAAACACACTTATGTTTAAATGGTTTTGGCTTCAATATGATTTCCAGTGATAACAATTCTCACATAATCCAAATAACTGTACAATACCACGGCACAAGGCCGGCCAGCCGGCCCCAGGGTGGGGGAACACTATCAGGGAGATTGGGTGTCTTTTTTTCTTTGCCTCCACATTCATTGCATCTATAATCAGGTCATAACCTAGTTGATGTGTTTATGAGATAAGCCGCTGCACTGCAGGCAAGTACATGTGAAGAGTATAGAGTGGCCGGGTGTGGAAAACCACAGTCACATGATGGACACTGCAGCTCCTCCGACTCAAACCTGAGCGTGGGCGGCGAGTTGTCTTTTTATGTGAAGTATACACATTAGGCTCTATGTAATTACAGAACGACTGTGGTGTATAATTTGAGTCATCACAGAGAGAGTGAATGAAGTGTGTATGGTGTTACTGTAGTGTGGGAAAGAGGTGTGTGGGTCAATATTGGGAGGGTGTTGTTGTACACCACCAGGGGGCAGTAGAATAGCTCCCAAAGGACCTGTGGGGCTTCACTGTCAGAATGCAGGTCACAATCTAGTTTTCTCCAGTGTCCTCTCTTTCTTTTTGTCCATCTTTACTTTTTCTTCCTCTCATTTCATTTTCTCTCATTCTGCTCACCCTCCCGCTTTCTCTTCCCTCCCTGCTTTCCCCATTTCTCAAAGCACAGACAGTTCGCTTGCACAATTGAGTTATTTTCAGTACAAACACCTACCGATTTCTCCACTGCTAACCAAATTACTGTACATATTTGTGGGTCCACTCATGAGAGATGTGAGGTTGGCATGTTTCGGGGGCGGGATGGAAGAAGTGAGTTGAGTACAGTGGGTGGGTACCCCACCCCGTACCACCAAGAAAAAAGAAATGAAGGGGGAAAAAAAGAAAATACTGATATTCATTTTTTCAAATACAATTATGGGCACCTTCCAATCTTATATCCTATATTCTTTACACAAACACAGCGCACTAGATCGGCTAATTGCAAACTGTTACAAACAAGCTAAAATGGAAGCTGTCTGTGTAGTCTAACTGTTAAGCTTAGTTTTCCACGTACCTTAAAATTTGGCACATTCTTGTAAACTTAGCTGCTGGCGGAGACTCTCTCTCTCTCTACCAGTGGTACCTGCAGTCAGTGAATCACATCAGGAGCAAAACATTCACTTTCCTCATGCACTTTCACTGCGGCGGCATGCTGGTACTTCTCTCACACACTGGGAGAGACTCGCTTCCCACAGCAAACCCATTGATCTCCGTCACATACACAGGTTACCCAGAACACCTTCCTTAAAGGGGGAGGCTCAGCCAGTAGAGTTAGGCTGTCGGCATGCCAACCTAACTTGTTAGAAAACATAGTAACTGTATACCGTGACTAAGTGTTTGTTTACCTTGATAGACAGAGAGAGGCAGTTGCAGAGGAAGTACTCCGATACTTTACTTCAGTAAAAATACTAAGACCATACTGTACAAATACTCTATTAAGTCCTGCATTGGAAATGTTACTTGAGTAAACTTTTGAAGTATAATGTACTCAAAGTATCAAAAGTAAAAGTACTCATTGCAGAAAAGTAATAATTTCTTAAGTAATTTTATGGACCCTGACCTAGCTACAAGAATGCACTGCAAAAAGTGAGTTCTCAAAAACAAGGGAAAAAAGCATTAAAATGGGGGACATATTGATAAAATAAACAAAATTATCTGCCAAAAGAACAAGAATATTTCATTTGCTACTTAAGGAACAAGTGAAATTCTCTAACGTAAAAGCCGCCTGGTAAGAAGAAATATCTTGTCAAACAAAAAACAAGTATATTTTGCCTTCAATTAAGATAATTAATCTTACTTAGATTTTAGTTTTTGCAGTGTGGGGATCCAACAAACATTTAGTGATGCCAAAACAGTTGACTGGTTCCTAGCATTCATGAAGAGGATTCTATGCCTCTCTGTCCACACCACACCAGCCTTGTTCAGGCAGTGGGCTTTAATAAAGTAAAAGCGGGTGAATTCTTTGATGGGCTATGTCCTACCAAGCTTAGGAGCATGGATGAGACAGGCATCCAAAGGTCTAGAAACCCCGGCCTGTAGTAGCAACAAAAGGGGCTCGACAAGTTGGGAGGATGACGAGTGCAGAAAGAGAATATAAAGTTACCACTGTGTGTACGATAAATGCTGCAAGGTAATTTGTTCCCTAGAAAGAGAATCCTATTGTCTCACCAACTTTGCTAAGAACACGAATGCCAGAAAGAATGATCCACACATCCTCATACTTGATAGGCACCACTCACATAAAATCAAGCGAAAACTTCCAGGGCTGAAAAATGAAGTGTCAAAAACTGCAGGTTCTGGAGTCAGTCCCCATAGACCCTCATATTAAAACTTTTGGGGGGGAATTTTTTTATAACTCCCCTGTTAAAATTATATTAAGGCTTAAGGTTATAATTGAGGGGATTTCGCAGTAGCCAGGCTTCATTCGGCCTTGCCTCAACTCCACCAATGCTCCACCTCTTTGCCCATTTTTGTAGTTAAGTGAGTCAGGCACTGCCAACACGGCTGGAGCCTCATACACTGAGCTTCACAATCGCTTTTCAGAAACTTACAGGTGACGTCATGGAGACTATGTCCATGTTTTATACAGTCTATGTATAAAATCTTAAGAGGCTGTTAATCTAGCAAGAGATCTTGGCATAATCTTGATTTCACTACCAGACCACAGCAGCCATGAAATGCAGCCCTTCATCAGGATCTGTTTCACCATCCTGAAGGTGAGCTACAACAAAGTGGCTGAACAATGGATGACCATAAACCATGAGAAGAGGATTACAGGGTTCCCACACATTTTTTCTAATTAATTAATTGTTCCATAATATTTTACCCCATTTCCATGACTTTATTTAAACAGTTTAATATAGGTAGGTCTATATAGCGATCATAGGATGCAATAGAGAGGCTAAGTCCCTCACCTTGTGGTCGACCACCATAGGACCTTATTTCGGAAAAAATATGTACAGTAGCGAGAGGCAATACATTTTTTTAAATCTTGTTTGAATTGTGCCCTGAATTACACAGGTTTACAGAAGGATGCACTTGTTCAAAGTCCTGATCTCTGTTGCCTGAAATTGTGTCTAGTTGTTAATTTTTGGAATTCTTCTTCCATTGTGCAGTGGTTCTGGCGGACCTAGCAGCTGGCAACCTTATTTTAGCAGATAAGGGGTTCTTGATCTCAAACATTGAGCCTGTGGGTGCCATAGTAAACCACCGTCCATCCTCAACAAGGGAAAGTTCACAGAGATTGAGGTGAAAGCAACTAAGGCCATTTTTCATCTTGAGAAGGTAAATGCCAGGCTGAAGGAGTTCAGGATTCTGGACCTGATTTCTTCAACTCGAACCAGCCAATGCGCTGGTGCAGCTCTGTTGTGCCTTGGTAAATTTGCAAAACCTACTCATGCTGCTCCCTGTTTAAAAACAAGTTGTTGGAGTATGTTCTTCAAAATTCTGATATGGTTAAGGCAAGGATATTAAATATGTAATTGGATCATTAGCTTCCCTGTACTGGTACAGGTACTGACAGGAGACACTACGGGAATGCTGATATACAGTAAGTGTATTAACAATGTTTGATAATACAACAGTGCAGTGATACAAATTAATTCTGGAAAAAAGGACAGTCTAAAATTAATAATTGGAGGAATGAATGACAGTTCAAGAATACCGACGCTATGAGGATAACTGAGGCTACCATTAGCTAACATCCAGTGGATAAATGGATAAATGGTCACCCAGTGGATGACATGGGTCACACATAAAGTAATAGTTTGTCGTTTTCAGATGAGTTTAAAAGACTGGCTGATCAAAAGAAGAAAGACAAGTGATGCCTATGATGACAATGAGGTGGGTCTCTGCTGTCTGGCAGCAATGTTTTGAAAGGTGAGCCAATGGATACACAAATATTTGCAGATACCAATTTTTTAAGTGGTTTTACATGTTACCAATTACAGTTTTATTGATTGTATGTCATACTAGACAGGACATGTGGTGATGCAGGGAAGCTCAGATGTGAGTTGACGCCAGAGAAGAGAAAGTGAACAGGAGCATAGAAGAAAGAAGCAAAGTACAGCTGCTGGTGCTGTACCAGGAGGAGCAGAGGCAGGAGGACAGAAAAGATCAAGGCCAATAAAGACCGGCTGTCGCCACAGCACACCCGGCTACTCATAGGCAATCTGGTTTTAATCCGGGGAGGACGGTGAACCCAAAATTCAAGCCTTGGCTGTACTATACAGCTGACCATGAGTACCACATGTAACATATTGAGCAGTATGGGGCTTGATCTCTCAAATGCTTTAACAATTATATCCACCACCACTTCTTAAAGAATAAAATACATCAAAAATCTTGTTCCCATAGGAATGTCAGGCTTAAATTTTATTCTTCCCACATTTAATAGAAAATCTATTGCTTTGTTTATTTTAAACTTTTGAGCAGGGTGCTCAGTGCTGGGGGGGGGCAAGGTGGTTCAGTGGTTAGCACTGTCGCCTCACAGCAAGAAGGTCACGGATTCAAACCCCAGTTGCCCCGGCCTTTCTGTGTGGAGCTTGCATGTTCTCCCCGTGTCTGCGTGGGTTCTCTTCGGGTGCTCCGGCTTCCTCCCACAGTCCAAAGACATGCGGACTAGGTTACTTGGTGACCCTAAATTGTCCTTAGGTGTGAATGTGAGTGTGACTGGTTGTTTGTCTATGTGTGGCCCTGCGATGGACTGGCGACCTGTCCAGGGTGTACCCTGCCTTTCGCCCAATGTCAGCTGGGATTGGCTCCAGCCCCCCACAACCATGTACACAGGATAAACGGTTGACGATGGATGGATGGATGGATGGGCTCAATGCTGGTTGCTTTTGGCCCTGTTATTCTTGAACACGAGCCATTGATTGGTGGCTTCAAGAGCCTACCACCTCCCACAAATTACGCTGACCTCCTGGAGCTTGATGAACTACGTGGCTGCCAGTATTTTGAAAAGTTAATGGTAAATGTTAATGCTTGCTTTTCTTTAATCAACATCATCACAAAGTTTGTAATATTTAATGTAAGGCACATTTGTTCTCTTTAAGGTCGGGAAGACGTCAAATTACACATCACACAGAATCTTTGATGAGATGTTAGAATTACTGAGCTCTGTCGTTGAGCCAATCCTATAAGACATTAGTGCCTCTGTGGCAAATGGGCCAGAGCTGGACGAGACCACAGATGTGTCTGTTAAGAAAGAGCTTGATGTTCATGTTACGTATACTTTTATTCAGAGGATGACAACAACTAAGACTTTAAATAATTTTGAACGACATATCTATATATCTATATATTTTGTTTAATATGTCTCTTTGTTCATCAGATACATGGAAAAGGAGGGGCTGCTCAATTTCTAGTTTTTGTGACACTCAGCGATGGCAGAGCTGACACCATTGTCAAAGTAGTAAGGGAGGTCCTCACAAAAAAAACATTGCCAACCAGTAGATTAATGGCCTGGGGACAGATGGATCAACTGTCACGATTAGTATGAACTACCAAAATACTAAATTAAGATACTAAATAATAATATAAAACATGCTTGTCCTAAAACAGGGAAAGTGAATGGGGTGGCCAAACAGCTACAGGACACCTTCCCATGGTTGTTTTCATCTGCATGCGCTAACTGCACTGCTGTACGCCAGGCTGCAGCAGAGTGCTTGGACTGGATAACCTAAAGTGAAGGTAATATAAACATAACAATATCTATTCCATGTTTGGGGGCACTTGATATATGACTTAACATGCCTCTAAATATGTGTGAAAGACATACACAAGCCACGTCCATTTCCAACATGCAGCCGTTTCGTGATGGATCCACATATCAATGGCCTGCTGGAGAGCCTGGAGAGGAGGGTCCAGAAATGGACCTTTTATGGGCCTTCCTTGTGCTCAACCCTCAGACAGCGACTGGTGATGAGGCAGTTAATGTGGTAAATTTGCAGCTCTTTGCCAGCAAATTTTCACAGAAAAACAAGCAGCAGATGCTAGTTGGGGCATTCAAGGTATCATCAAATGAATTAGGAGTTTTGGGAGTTCTCTTGCCTACATTGATGTTGCTTAATGTCTTTCAGAACATAGACCAGCAGAGCCTGATGCAGGGCCTGTTGTCAGAGGTGGGTGAATGGAGGCAGCTCTACCCATCATTGAGCAAGCTGGCTGACAATGGCCTGACCATCCTAGTTTTAGAGTGTAAACTGTGAAAGGGATTTCTCTACAATGAACAGGCAAGGGTACGTAATACAATTATTTGACTTTTAATGCCCAGTTCAAATCTCACCTGAGTGGGCCCCACATCCACTCGTCTGTTGATTATAATTTTTTTATATACAGGTAAAGACTGACCTGAGAAATTGTTTACAGGGGGAAGACCTTGCCGCTTGTTTGTGCTTGAGCATCAATGGCCCTACCAACAAAAGAGTTTCCTTTTGAGAGCCTTAGAGCTATTCTTTCAGAGTCTTCAAACGATCAAATGCTCTCAGGCAGGATGCCAACAGTGTCACCACTAAAGCTTGATAAAAGTATAATCTTTACAACATAAACAAAATATATTATTATCAACAACCACCCATATACAGTAAAATCAAACACTAATACTAATACTCTGTCGCCATCACATGCATCTTCCCACTCCCTCCCTCTCCCATCACAATCCTCCCCTTCAATTACACCACGAAAACGGTAGTTGGCTGTAACGCTTTAGCATCCACTGTGTTGACTTTTGCAGGCTGAGCCAGCTAACTTCCTGTGTAGCCCTCCGCTAACTTGAATGGGGATAAAATTATATACGTGTGGCTCTTATAGACATTTCAAATGTTATCAACCAAATGGATCATATTCAGATAGTGAAAAGAGTAATTTCGCGTGGGTTGTAACCAGAGCTTGACACAAACTTTAATGCTCACTTGCCAATGTGGCTAGTGGTTTTCCAAAGTTGCTAGCCACACAGCATTTTCACTAGCCACATTTTTGTTGTTAGGAAGATACGTTTAATATGATTAAAGTTGACCATGGTGTGCTAAAATGTACTACCATTATCATAAGCTCTTAAAAGGTTGTGTGTAAAACTCCTTTTTTATGAAAACATGTAGTTCTTAAGATAAACACATAAAAAGAGTAGCTTTTATTGTATATAATAAAAGTTCTACATGGGTGTAGAAGATTAATTGAAATGTTAAAAACTAAACTGAAAACAATTACATCAGAAACACTTAAAATATTTATTTATAACAGCAGTAAGTACTGTAATACAAAGTAGAAAAAAATCATCTGCATTAGAAACACAGAGTAAAGAAGAACAAATTATTTTTGTGTAAGAAATAAAATCACAATTAAGGCAACATGATTAAAATCAAACTGAAATGAGTATACAGGTCTTTATTTCCCAGATTATTCCCATACAAACGCATCTCCTGTTTTTCTACGTGGCTTGAGTAGTGTTATTAAAACATAGAATCAACTCTGGAAGGGTAGTTGTGATATGACGATATGATGTGATATAAGGACAGCCCTGCTACTATGTTGGGTTTTTTTTTTTTAAATACCACCATATCCCTTAATCATGAAGATATCTGTAATTTTAAAAGCACTTTCCTCCTGGCTTTTCTCCGTCTCAGCTCTGGCTTTTCTCTTTCTCTCCTTCTTCTGTGCATTTCTTTTCCACACTGGTTGTGCACACACACTCACGCACTGACTGAACGCTGTGTTGATGTGTAGGCTATACCTGTCACGTGTGATGTCATACCATCAGGTTCAAAGCAGGCGGGAGACTGACGGTCTACATGTCTATAATTGCACTGCACGCGCCTGATGTATGTATTCTCCTGCTATTAAAAAAGCTTGCTGTATTATCCCTATTATGAAGTTGATAATTAACAGCAGGTCAAAACATCTCCCGACGTTCGGTGCTTTAGATGGCCAGCCTGCTAGTGTGATCTTCACGTCTTCTTTATTACAGTGTCATCGGTCAGTAGCACAAGACAATAGACTTCACGAATGGACCAATGATCAGACACTTTATGCAGGTAGTAGCCTACTCATGGGAGTTGTAGTGTCACATTCTAATATATTTGTTATTTCAGATGCCTTTTGACAAGACAACAATTTTTCAACAGGACCCAACAGGCTAGTGGGAGTGACTGTGTTACCTGCCACTGCTGAAATCCACTCACATTTGACGGGTTGGCGGGTGTTAATGTCAAGCCCTGGTTGTAATGCTCAAATATATTGATCCACCTTGTTACAGCTGCTGGATTGGCTGCAATTAAAATTTATTTCAAAGCATAAATAAAGGGGAGTGCAGGGTTATGACATATCCAGTTAGGTAAAAATCTAAGGTAAGCATGGGAGACATGTGTAAGGAACTTGGGGGAGGGGGGTGTATGGATAGGGAATTGGGGTAAGGGGAAGGTATGCAAAAGGACTTGGGTGGAGTTGAATGTGTGCATGAAGAACTTAGGGGGCCGCCTATAGCTCCCACTAAAGCTAGGACTGGCCCTGTCTGTGACAACAACAACGGCACTCAAAGCGGCGAGCGAAGAAGGAAATAACGGCATTCTGCAGACCATACGGAGAAGGAATGAGGTAGTAATGTAAGAAGTTAGAATAATCAGTGGAGTCGTACGGCATTTGCGAGCTAGCAAAGGCCTCGGCAAAAAGGCCATTAGCCACGTTAGCCTTCGGCTAAAAGGCCATTAGTCACGTTAGCCTTCGGCTAAAAGGCCTTTAGCTACGTTTGCGAGCCATGCATGCTCAAAAATCGTTTATGCAGTCAGTGAGAATGGTGTGAACTTATTAACTGATGCAAATAATGCGAAGCTAAGGCAAATGCAGATATGTGTTCACTTAGCAGAGGTAGCGTTAGCAAGCAAGCTAATTATCCTGTTGCCGCTAGCCGGCATCTGCAGCTTTGTGTACAGCATGTGCTTCCTTCCGGCTAATGTCTGTAAGGTGGCAACCTCCCACAAATGGAAATACAGATCAGCCGCAGTTAGATATTGGCATGGTTCTTCCTCTTCTTGTCCTGCAAAGTAGTAATTGTTTTAGTGGTGATTTTGTTTGAATGCAGCGTTGTTTGTTTAGTAAGTTAATAGTAACTCCTGCTTGATTGTGGTGAGGGGCATATCATTCACCTTGCATCGTAGGAGTTATCTCCGGGGATTACCACAGCTACTAACATGGCTGAAACTTTTTTTTTTTACTCATTCTGCAGCCAAACATGTTAAAATTTCAGATCACTAATGCAAGTGCAACATACAGATACACCCAGTTTAAAAAGCAATGAAATAACTGTCTCCAAGACCCAAACAAAAAGTCAGTAATGCATTGACCATTTCATTCAAAGTTAAGTAACTTTACCTGAAAGTTTTTACTTTAACCACAATTGAAGCTCAGATAAATTACTTTTGTTGTTTATTCAGATTTACTGGACAAACACTCAATATCCAGCATCTTGGCAACACTAAATGTGTGGCTTCACAGACTGCAAGTGACACAATTGGTGATTAATATTGTCTTTATATGTGGCTCTCTACCTAGGAGCTACTTCAAACCCTTAAAGAAAGCTTGCATTAACATACTGGTTATTGATCACTGAGTCTTATTTCAGAAATGTGTTTTCATTAAGGGGCATACAGGAGGTTGAAACAAACAGTAGGATAAGTGGAGCACAACACATGTCCACTCAAACTTTCCACAACATTCAGAGATAAGTTGTACACTAATATTAATAATGATGACTTTTAAATGAAAAACGATAGTTAAGTCAGTATAAATCTTGTTGGAGATACTTCAAATGTTAAGAAAAATGGTAAGGAAGCAAGAGCCCAATATCACAAATCACAATTAGCCTTAAGGGGTTTTACAATCTGTACAGCATTCAACATGCTCTGTCCTCAGATCCTCGATACGAAAAAAATATAACCTCGCTCCAAATCACACAAATTGATATTTCCAAAATGGTGCATTTAGGAGACATGGCATAGTCTAAGAAATATATGATTAAATTTAATAAATATGTTTTCTTCAAACAAGTATCTAGTAAATGATTGCTCCAATGTGTTTTAATAGGAGTTGATATATTGTATGATCAGGCTAGCTTTATTTGAGTGTGAATGTTTCCCCCCTCCTTTTCTAGACATAGCCAAGTCCAGGTGTGATGTGCCAGCTCAGCTGAAACTTAAGTTTCCCCAAGATCCTTCAGGGAGGAGCCAGAAGAAACTTTCGACCTCAGGTACAGTGGAGCCACTTTTTTATATAATGTATCTGTGGAAGTAGGAAATAGAAACTAAATGTTATTGAATAAAGCTCCTTCTGATTCTAATAAAATGTCTTAAACTGTAATAATAATAATTGTACACAAGTTGGATTTACGATTGACAGCTGATAGGAATAACTAGTTATTTCTACAATCGCCTGAAAAAATACAAATTAGACTTACTTGTTACTCAATGGTGGGGTGTGCGATTGTGGAGAAAATAAACACCATGATAAATAAAACGATATAGAGTGAACAACAACACAGCAAATAATGTAACTAACTAAAGTTAGCTACATTGGGCTAACATGCAGAGAGGACAAGACTGTCCCAGAGCCAGCACACCAGCTCCAGACAGCAATACTCACAACTCTCCTGCTACTATAGACAACATGATAGCAACAGCATATCTTGGCTAACTGGAAAGTAAGCTGAATGTCTGTAGGCAAGTCATTTAACTTTACCTGACAAACAAATCGCTGGAACATATGGAATAGTGTTTGCGGTGTGTGTGCCACTTTGCTTTTTACAGAGCCAGTACAAACTCACGGACAGCTAGTGGACAATTAAATGTATTGGATTTGAATTGCATACCAGTGATCCACAATATTGATTTTTTTCCCCCACCGATCCAATAATTGCCTATTCTCATGGCCAATGCGATACTATAATCGTGATAATTATACGATAATTTCTCAAGTTGAAAAAAATCTAACGCTGAGCAGAAAAGCACCTGACATTCGCGTTTTTCCCATTGTCCAATCGAATGAGTGGAGAGACAGGCCCTCAGTTGTGCTGACGGAAGTTTACAGTTGATTGTCCGGAGACTGCAACAAACCAACTGGTGGGCTACTACCAGCGGTATCTCCTCTTTCTGAGGGTCTCATGTGCCCACACGGATCTCCCTTTCCCTGTCTCCTGCATGTTTGTACACCTCTCGCCCTCAAACAATGCCAGAGCAGGCACCCTCCGTTTGTCTATTTCATTAAAGCAGATGTTTTTAGCAAAAAAAGAAGCAGACCTGTGAGTTGTGAACAAGTTTCTGCTAATATGTTATTAATTAGCGGCTAACAAAGATTACAGATCGCTGGTGTGATCATTTTTGATGATGATTCAATTTAGCCTTGCTTTAGCCTGTTTTTTAGGCTGCAGAGGGAGAGTAGATTAGGGCTTTCAAATGTAACACATTAATTTATTTAGAAAACAACACTTTATAAAACATTAACTCTTAATTTAATGATCTTTTATGGCAAAAATGTAATGGCTTTTCTGAGCAAATATTGACATGTGATTGTTGTTTTGCAGCCAAAAGTATAACTATATGCAGCTTAGGGGTTGGTCATTTCATACCTGGCAAGATGGAGAAACGGTCCACAACGGAAGACGCTTTGGAGAGAGTTGTGCAGCCTGATGACAGCATGCAGGACTCAAATGAGAACGCCTCTGAAACTGAGGATGAAACAAACACAGGTGATGATGTCAATTTTGAGCCAAATTCTGATGCCTCTGATTCACCCAATGACGCCACTGAGATGGTGGTGGACATGGAGGAGACATCAGCTCAGGAATGGAAATCAAAACATGGGAAAATTGTCTGGTCTCCCACTCACTACGAGACGCTGCGCTACACTCCATACAAAGTTCTCACCCCGGGACCCACACGATACGCCATCTCTCGGATCAGCACTGTGAAGTCCTGCTTCGATCTCTTCATGACGGAGGAAATCATCCAGCTTGTTCTGGATATGACAAACCTGCATGGGAGACGTTCGACCACAGATTGGAAAGACATAGATGCCACTGACTTGCAGGCATACTTTGGACTGCTGATTCTGGCCGGTGTATACAGGTCACGCAACGAGGATACCCGCAGCCTGTGGGATGACCACACAGGACGGGCCATCTTCCGGGCCACCATGTCCCACCGTGCATTCAATACTATAAATTCAAACCTGCGATTCGAAGACAAAAAGACACGAACTGCGCGTCGTAAGGATGACAAGCTGGCTGCCTTTCGGACCATCTGGGAGAAGTGGGTGCAGCGCCTCCCTCGTCTGTTCAACCCGGGCCGGGATGTCTGTGTAGATGAGCAGCTTGTTGCTTTCAGGGGCCGCTGTGGATTCCGCCAATACATACCCAGCAAACCTGCAAAATATGGGTTAAAGATCTGGGTCACCTGCGACGTCAGTACATCATATGCATGGAAGATGCAAATCTACATGGGAAAATCTGCTGACGGTGCCCCGGAGGTGAACCAGGGAAAGAGGGTCGTCCTGGACATGACGGAGGGGCTCAAGGGGAACATTGTGACTTGTGATAATTTTTTCACCTCTTACGCACTGGCAGAGGAGCTTCTGAGAAGGAAAATGACCCTGGTTGGTACAATTCGTAAGAACAAGCCAGAGCTTCCCCCGGAGCTGGTGAACATAAAGCACAGAGCGCCCTTATCCTCCCTCTTTGCCTTCACCAAGACGCACACATTGGTGTGCTACGTACCAAAACGGGGGAAGAATGTAACGCTCCTCAGCACGAAGCACCGCGAGCCAGCTCTGAGTGACTTCGACCACAAGAAGCCAGTGATAATTACCGACTACAACAGCTGCAAAGGAGGTGTCGACAACCTAGATAAGGTAATGTGCTGTTATGCATCAATTACCAAAACACATATTTATTCTTACTTAATTTATGTGCTTGTTTGATATATTTAGTGTTATGTTTAGTGTAGTTAATTGTTCTTTATTTCTAGCATTTATAGAAAGTTTGATTGATATATTTGTATGACAGTGGTTCGCAATAGGCCCACTAGCAATAATATCTGGCCCACGGCCAGATTATATTGATAGCAGCTGGTGCTGAAATAGATCTCTCATGCCAGCAACAGTTACTCACATAATGAGGGCTGACACTATCGATTGTTTTAGCTATCGAGTAGATACAGATCATTTTATCAAGTAATCAGATAAGAAATACTTTTGCTTGGCGCCCTGGTAACGGGATCAGCTGTGTAACCCATATCACTGTAACTTTACAACCCAAACACACAAACATTAAGATTACGGTTACCTTGTTTAGGGTCCGCTGCGTAGACTGGCTGTTGTGATAGGCTAGTTCTTTTTTACAGTACACACTGTACAGAGTTGTTGTTGTTTTCTTTTAGCTTGAAATGAGCCATAGTTTGGACATTTTCTGTCTTTTTCCTCTGGTCTGTCTGTCAGCTTCAGTCTTCCTCTGTTTGCATCTTATCACGTCCTCTTCACTTGTCCAAAGTGCCTACAAAATAAAAGTGTGTGAAGGTTTTCAGCAATGCTTTACTTTCAGTTGAGATTGAGAGCTCTTACTTTGAAATGTTCTGAGGAACATTCAAAAGAGTGTGGCTTGCTTGACACACCTCTGAAATAGCGTTGGCAAATTGTAAGTCCACTGAATGAGAAGCACAGAAATTTCTTCTGCCTGGCAAATGAAAATAAGCATCCATAGGTTGATGGATGTGGACCAATCGTCGGGACTCACACTCCAGCACATTCTTTATTGTGAGCAGATGAAACGGTCTCTTCATAATTAATTAGTTGAAGAGGAAGACAAAAGATTTTTGCGTGATGTAGGGATCGATCACACAACCTTGAGATTGAGAGTCCTGTGTTCTACTAACAGAGCTAACCCGTCAAACCGATAAATTAAATTATAATTTGACTGTGTTCTGGCCTGCCATCTAATGGCTTGAAAAACTTGGTGAACACTGGTGTATGATAAGGAATAATATTTTAATAATTCTTTTCTGTTGCAGTGTGTTGGCACCTACAGCTGTCGGAGAAAGTGCTATCGGTGGCCACTGGCTCTCTTCTACAACATGCTGGACGTCTCTGCCTACAACGCATTTGTGCTTTGGACAGCTGTAGATCCCTCCTGGAACCAGGGCAAGACCTTTAAACGGAGGCTGTTCCTAGAGGAGCTGGGGAAAATGCTGGTGTTGCCACAGATGCAACGGAGACGGCGCCTCCCCCGCACATCATCCTCTGCTGCCATGGTCGAGGGTATGCAGAACCCAGGGGAAAGGGATCCAGACAGCACCACCAGCAAAAGGAGAAGGCCGTGCAACTTCTGCACTAACAAAAAGGCAAAAACGTCCACCACTTGCATCAACTGTGGCAAATATATCTGCAAAGTCCACACAACATCATACTGCCGCAACTGCTGCAGATGAACGGAACTCTCTCTCTTTTTCACACACACACACAAGGCCTATAGCTAACTCTGTATTTTTCTGGGCTTTTTAAGTATTTCTTAATGTTGAATTAAAACAACTAATTGCTAAAATGACTTGTACAAGTGTGTTGTTTGGCATCACCGCGCCAGCAGACGTGAACCGCTGTGTGTGCAGCTTTAATCTCACAATTAGCCCTTGCTGCAGTCACGCTGTCTGCTACTCCAAAAGTGGTCTTGCCTTGCTCGCGGTTTATGATAAGGGATCTCATCAGGGCGTATAGCCTGAGTCCAAAATAAATATGTATTAGAGAGATGTCACTCTCCTCTAGGTCATTGTGGTGATAAATATACCTATACCTTAAAGGTATTGACCGAAATAACCCAGTACCAAATAATATTGAAACTTCTCCAGTTAACAATAACTGCATTCGATTCTTTGTTTTATTTAATTATTTTTTTTTTAACCAGATTGGGAGAAAAAACTACTAATTGTGTGGTTTTGTTCGCAGCAACACTCCAAAGAAAGAGAAGGGCATACCTTCTTGTAAACATTAACTTCTATGTAATATGTCTGTCAATTTTGTATTACAGCTTAGTCTGAAAACATTGATGAATTACACAATCTTTGTCTTTATCTTTTTTTAAGTATGACTATTGATATGTATGATATGTTTTGTTCTGTATCTTCTGCACAATGGTCAAACCTTTTTTTGTAAATTCTCACTGTCTTTTTAAAAATATATGTGCAAATAAACTAAAACTAATTGTTCTCTGTCATGCCATATGTAGCTTTTAGATTAGGATTTATTGTTTGGATGAACTTTAGCAATGAGTGTTAGAACACTTGTCAGGTAATGTCAAGGCAAAACTATAAAGATACTGCATTTGTGCGATTCCAATGCAATAAAACTGAACTGAAAAAGAGTCATTTCAATATAGGGCATGATTGTATATTTGAATCAATATCACTTATTTTGGTACAAATAAAGGTGACAACAGGTGTACTGGAGAGGCAACAGCAAGACAACCCCCCCCCAAAGGGAATGGAGGAATTTGCAGGTGGTAGTCGGAGACGATTGCTCACTCCTTATCCTTCCTGACTTCCTCTCTAGTTGTATGTATGTGGCAATTGAACACGTGTACCTAATAAAGTGGCCAGTGAGTGTATATACAGTTGATTGTTAACAGAAATAGCTAATCAGCCAATCACATGGCAGCAACTAAATGCATTTAGGCATGTAGATGTGGTCAAGAGAACTTGCCGAAGTACAAACCAAGCATCAGAATGGGGAAGAAAGGGGATTTAAATGACTTTTAACGTGGCAAGGTTGTTGGTGCCAGACGGGCTGGTCTGAGTCTGAGAACTGCTGATCTACTGGGATTTTCACGCACAACCATCTCTAGGGTTTACAGAGAATGGTCCAAAAAAGAGAAAATATCCAGTGAGCGGCAGTGGTGTGGATGAAAATGCCTTGTTGATGTCAGAGGTCAGAGGAGAATCGGCAGACTGGTTTGAAATGACAGAAAGGCAACAGCAACTCAAATAACCTCTCCATACAACCAAGGTATGCAGAATACCAACACCTGCTTAAATTATTATGTGCGATACTCTGCCGACTTTATTCCTTATTACTGTTCACCATAACAATTCCTTAATTATGTAAATACTGTATCATAACAATTCCTTTAACTATGTAAATACTGTACATATCCACACTCCTGATATTTATATACTTCTCTATATACCACTATCTTTATTATATTCCTTTGCCCTTGTGCAATGTGTGCAACGGTAACACAGAACAACACGTCAAACCTTGAAGCAGATGGGCAACACAGCAGCACAACTGCTGTTTCCGTGGTGTCATCAACAACCATATGAGATCTTGACTTTAATTGCAGAGGAAACAGGTCACAAAGTCAATCAACTGTTGTGCATCGCTGCACCTTCTTGGTTTTCACATGGCTTGAATTGGTTGGGGCACCGGGGCTTTATAGAATGATGTTAGAGAATGAATAAGAAGTGAATTAGTGTATTATACTTGTCAGCTGAAGCAAGAAGATCAGAGTCAGTAAAATGAATCAGAGTTCCCATCACCAGAAGATGCCCCTTTTGACATATAGCTTTATAACAACAAAGATGTAGTCCATTATTTCTAACGGGGGGGGGGGGGGGGGGGTATTTATAAGGAATTGGGGCGGGGGTGAAGGTATGCATAAAGGGGGGGGGGGCCTGAACAGGTTTCACCTAGAGCTCCCACAAATGCTAGAACTGGCCCTGTCTGTGACACAACACTAACGGCGCCAAAACGGTGGGACAAGAAGATAAAGGCAGTCTGCAGACCACACGGAGAAGGAGGTAACGTTAATTATGTACATCTATGAAGGAGTCCGAATAATCAGCAAAGTCCAAGGCTAGTGGAGTCATTCTACGGTGTTGGCCAGCTAGCAGAGCCATGCATGCGTGCATGAAGCTAAGGCAAATGCAGATGTCTGTACACTTCGGAGAGGTAGGGTTAGCAAGTAAGCTAAATAAGTAACCTAGCTCCACAAAAGCCGCAGACTCTGCAGCAGCGTGTGTGCAGCTAACTTTAGCTGTACTGCTTCTTCCCCTGCTAAATGTGTGTGTGTTGGGTGGCCAACACAAGTAATGTTAGAAATACAGAACAACCGCAGATGCATATTGTCGAGTTGCTTCACCTTCTTCTCCTGCAGATTAGCCATTGTTTTAGTGGTGGTGGTGTTGATGCGTGTTTTGTTTAGCACCGCTAGCAGTAAGAAACGTGACCATACGTCCTTTTCCCCCCCCGGACATGTCTTCTTTGTGTGATCTAAAAAATGCACCCGGATGAGATTTCTAAATAGCCCAAAATGTCCGGGATTCGGATTTTGCTCTCTACGGTCGCCATTCATTGTTTGCGTTTTCGCATTTCTGTGACCTTCTCCTTAGATTCTGCCTTCTCATACTCCACCAGTGGTCGGTTGTGTAGGCCTACACGCACTTGTTGGCCAAACTGCACATCAATCATTGTTCTCAGCAACAGAGTAGCAGCTTGCTTATCAGCAGTGGCACATGGTGCTTGAACAGTGTAAAAATACCCTAAACGAGTGCTTGAAATGTGGACATTAAACGAGACATTAAAAAACGGTTGACGTGTGCAACCATGGGTGCTACTGCAAACTCTTCCAAATGGGAAAACTCGTTCTGCGTGAACGGTTTTGATTATTGACAAGTTGGCATTAACACATTTTGAAACTAACCACTATATAGACCATTTTTCTTGCTCAAGGACTTAATGAATGCAGAGCCAAAGTCACTCGCTTCCGCTTCCGGCCCATGGGACCTTATTTCGGGGAAAAAATATGCACGGTCGTCACTGGCGAGAGACAATCGTTTTATCCTGTTAAAATTGAGTCTGGAATTACACATGATGTTTGTTCAATGAACTACATCTCTCGTCTCGCACAATATACGTCGGCAACATGTTAGCCATAGACTGTATATAAAAAGATGTTAGCGCGGTAATGCTAACTAACGTTCATTGCTTTCTTGCTACTAGCTAGATAACTTAGCTGTGTTTCACGCAGAAATATATCACTGAGTTACGACGTCACATACGCGACTTTTGGGTTTGTAGTCTCTGTAATTATGTATTTTTCTTATGCCTCAACAGTATTACAACAAATTGCGACTTTCTTGACTTTAAAATGTAACGTTATCTTTTAAATTGACAAACATCATATGTGTAATTCAGGGCCCAATTAAGGTCCCATAGTGGTCCACCGGGAGAGAAGGGACTGCCTGGAAGTATTATACTAGTGGTAAACTATACTATTATCTGAAATTATAATGAATACACTAATATAAGCCGTTGTTTTATCAATCAATTGACTTGTTGAATTTCAATAAGATGTTAATAAGCCTACTAAAACAATCTTTCAATAGCCAAACAAAGTATAACCTATAAATATATTTGTATTATACTAGCGTTAAACTTTTTATTTAATGTTATAATATTGTACTAATAGCCTACACTAATTTATACTAGTTCCTCCTCCATGTGGATAGAGCCTCTGCTGTAGACATTACCACGGTGTTACCATTACATGAATCCCTCCCAGCCCAAACCATCCACCCCCCTGTCTGCCTCCTGCCCCCACTTTCCTCTTTTTTTTGAAAACCAAAAGATGGTTACCCTACGTTGATCTGCGGATCATTAACCAGCTGTATGATTTACATGCAGCTACCATCATCTCTAAAGCTTTTGTTGTAATCATTCTGCATCCATACATGTCCAAACTTGAGATCAGTTTTGCAAGTGCAACATACGAAAACACCCACTTAAGAAAGCTTGCGACAAGCCCCAAACAAAAAGTGAGCAATCCTGTGGCTGGTCATTCAGAGAGTTATTACCTGAGAGTTTGCACTTCAACCACATTTTCAAATTGAAGCTTAAAGAAAGGACTTTATGCCTTTTAATCAGAATTAATAGATAAACACTGAATATCTTGGCTTCTCAGACTTCAAGTAACACATTGTTGTAGTTGTAGTGGCTATTAATCACATTGAATCTTATTTCAGAAACGTATTAGGAAACATTGAGGGGCAGGCATGTGGTTTAAACAGACAATAGGATAAGTGGAAAACAACATATGTTCACCCAAACTTTCCACAACATCCAGTGTTGTATACCATTAGTAATAATGATGACTATTAAAGGAAAAGAGTTGCAGTTAAGTCAATTGAATCTTGTTGGAGACTTTTCAAATGTTAAGAAAAATGGAGAGTGACAGCTCCTGTTGTCCATTTTACTTCTATAGCCCAATATCACAAATCACAATTTGCTTTGAAGGGGCTTTACAATCGGTACAACATTCAGCACCCTCTGTCCTCAGACCCTTGATTCAATGATTAAGACAAGGGACCAGAAAGTAAGTTGAATGTCTGTCGACTAGTCATTTAATGTTACCTGACACAAATCATCCCTGGAACATCTGGATTAATGTTGTGTAGCCCACTGTGTGTTCAGCAGCAGATGGCTGTCAGGTAGCCTGACAACCTGTTTAATAGAGGATAATTCACAATAAATGTATTGTAACAATGCATTCATTGTGACTATTGAATAGTATTATAGTATTTTAATATCATTCAACTGCAATAAATTCATTATGAATTGTCCCCATAAATAATTGCACATACATTTAAATATTTCTAAACGTATATTTGCATGATACATCAAATTCATTGATATTAATTCAATTTGTAATATTTTCTTAGTGAATTGTTGATGTTTTAGTCAGCACCACATGATTACACTGTTTCTGATGACCTTAAATTGTAAAACGCACAATTCAGAAAAATTAAAACAGAACTCACAGTGCCCGATTCATGGTCTCGTTGTTCAATATTTGAATGTAGTGTAACTTTAGCAGAAAAAATAATGAAGGGGAACAGAGAAGGTGACGAACCTAAACAGGCAAAAAATAGTGTGCAGGTCTATGATGACACCACGTTTCTGTAACGCGCCCGGTCTGTGACACTAGTTGTTTCGGTGGTTCAACACCCCTCTTGAAGTCCTAGGGGAAAGAATGGCTGAAATTCGTTATTTTCCTTACAATTCTACCAACAATACCCCATAATGACAGTGTGAAAGAAGTTTGTTAGATATCTTTGCAAATTTATTAAAATAAAAAAACTAACATGTACATAAGTATTAACAGCTTTGACGTATCAAAATTGTTTGATTTAGCAATATCCGTAGATGATCCTGTCAAAGTTTTGAATCGATTGGCCAAATGATTTCGCAAAAATAGTTTTTTGAGAAAAGTAATAAAAATTTTCATAATTTGACATTTTTAGAGCAGAAGACCATTGGAGCAAAGATGCAGATGAATCCCGAGATTACAATAATAAAAGAAGTTTAAAAACAAGAGGGCTCCTGCAGCTTCGCTGCTTGAATCCCTAAATATATTCATTTGGGGGCTTTTAAAGCAAATATTGACATGTGATTGTTGTTTTGCAGCCAAAAGTGAATGCAGCTTGGGGGCTGGTCATTTCATATCTGGCAAGATGGAGTCCACAACGGAAGACGCTTTGGAGGAAGTATTGCAGCCTGATGACAGCATGCAGGACTCAAACGAGAAAGCCTTAGAAACTGAGGACGATACAAACACAGGTGATGAGACAAATTCTGATGCCACCGATGCGGTCCCAGAACCTGCACACCAGCTCTAGACAGCGATACTCACAACTCTCCTGCTACTATAGCTAACATCACAACATAAGCATATCTTGGCAAACAAGTATGTAAGCTTAGTGTGCATGTCACATTTAACGTTACCAGACACACAAATCACCGCTGGAACATCTGGAATAGTGTTGTGTGGTTGTGTGCGGGCGACTTTGTTTCTTATTTACAGAGCCAGGGCTGAGTACAAACTCTGGGTTTTTTGTGCACACACAGACAGCTAGTGGACCATGAGGTATATTGGATTTGATTTGCTTACAAGTGATGCACAATATGGATTTTCCCCCACCGATCCGATAATTCCTTTCAATTCCTGTAAATTAAGAAGTTTTAAGTTGGAAGGGACCGCGTCTGCTTCTATGGCTGCAGTTGAGCTAAAATCTCTAGTCAGCTGTTCACACGTATCAAGAATAGTCAACATATTTTCAATAAGAGCCTTGTTGTGCACTTAGAAATGCACGTAACTCATAGTCTACTTAATATGCTGCCAGTGTGGCCCCTCTCAAGTTTTTACTAGCAGTTAAATTTTACCTATAACAAATAAAAGGTATAACAGGTAAATCTGATTTATTTATATATATAATCAGATTTACCTTACCTTTCTTTACTTACAGAGAGAGAGAGAGCTGTAGCTTCTGTAGCTTCTCAAGATTAAAGCGGAGCCCCCCCCCCCCCTAATGTAAATCCTTAGTTGGGGACAGCCCTAAAAAATACAGTATCTATGGCAGGTTCAGAGGTCATGATCAGAGACCTTCTGATGGATTTCTGAGGAGAATTTGGAAATAAAGCAGTTTGTTCATTTCTAAACACAGCTATCATCTTGAGACATTTCTATTCAGTGCTTTATTCATGTGCCACGGAAATGTAATGTTAAAACATCTTAATTTGGTGGCCTATCCAAGCAAATATTGACATGTGATTGTTGTTCTGCAGCCAAAACTATATGCAGCTTGGATGCTGGTCATTTCATACCTGATGACAACATGCAGGACTCAAATGACAATGCCTCCGAAACGGAGGACAATGCAAATTCAGGTGATGATGTCGATTTTGAGCCGAATTCTGATGTCTCCGATGCCTCTGATTCACCCAATGACGCCACTGAGATGGTGATGGACATGGAGGAGACATCAGCTCAGGAATGGAAATCAAAACATGGGGAAATTGTCTGGTCTCCCACTCACTACGAGACGCTGCGCTACACTCCATACAAAGTTCTCACCCCGGGACCCACACGATACGCCATCTCTCGGATCAGCACTGTGAAGTCCTGCTTCGATCTCTTCATGACGGAGGAAATCATCCAGCTTGTTCTGGATATGACAAACCTGCATGGGAGACGTTCGACCACAGATTGGAAAGACATAGATGCCACTGACTTGCAGGCATACTTTGGACTGCTGATTCTGGCCGGTGTATACAGGTCACGCAACGAGGCTACCAGCAGCTTGTGGGATGACCACACAGGACGGGTCATCTTCCGGGCCACCATGTCCCACCGTGCATTCAATACTATAAATTCAAACCTGCGATTCGAAGACAAAAAGACACGACCTGCGCGTCGTAAGGACGACAAGCTGGCTGCCTTTCGGACCATCTGGGAGAAGTGGGTGCAGCGCCTCCCTCTTCTGTTCAACCCAGGCCGGGATGTCTGTGTAGATGAGCAGCTTGTTGCGTTCAGGGGCCGCTGTGGATTCCGCCAATACATGCCCAGCAAACCTGCAAAATATGGGTTAAAGATCTGGGTCACCTGCGACGTCAGTACATCATATGCATGGAAGATGCAAATCTACACGGGAAAATCTGCTGGCGGTGCCCCGGAGGTGAACCAGGGAAAGAGGGTCGTCCTGGACATGACGGAGGGGCTCAAGGGGAACATTGTGACTTGTGATAATTTTTTCACCTCTTACGCACTGGCAGAGGAGCTTCTGAGAAGGAAAATGGCCCTGGTTGGTACAATTCGTAAGAACAAGCCAGAGCTTCCCCCGAAGCTGGTGAACATAAAGCACAGAGCGCCCTTATCCTCCCTGTTTGCCTTCACCAAGACGCACACATTGGTGTCCTACGTACCAAAACGGGGGAAGAATGTAACGCTCCTCAGCACCAAGCACCGCGAGCCAGCTCTGAGTGACTTCGACCACAAGAAGCCAGTGATAATTACCGACTACAACAGCTGCAAAGGAGGTGTCGACAACCTAGATAAGGTAATGTGCTGTTATGCATCAATTACCAACACACTTACTTAATTTATGTGCTTGTTTGATATATTTAGTGTTTTAATTTGTTCTTTATTTATAGCATTTATAGAAAGCTTGATTGAAGTAACTGACAGCGGTCAGCAATGGGCGGCCCCAGGGCCAAAAGTGGCCCAACACAAATAATCTGACCAGCGGCCTCAACTCATATCACTTTAACGTTACAACCCAAACTCACGGACTAATCAGTCAGAACAATTAAAACAAAAACATAATTATACATTTACAACTTAGAATTGTGCCTCACCTTTGCCAGTCGTCATCTCGACTAGCAATCACGATTTACATTAAATGCTAATGTTACAGTACCTTGTTTTGGGACTGGAAGCTTTCTGCTCAAATGCTTTCCGCTGTACTGTTGTGGTGGGCTAGTTCCATTTTACAGTACACACTGTACACAGTTGTTTTCTTTTAGCTTGAAATGATGCCATACTTTGGACACTTTGTGTTTTTTTTGTTTGTTTTCTCTGGCATGTCTGTCCTTCAGCCATCGCTATTGCTTCTCTCTTTCTCCATTTTATGACATCATCTTTACTTGTCCAAAGCGTAAGACTTTAATGGTTTTGCCTACATAACAGTTTTATCATCAGTACTTTATTTCGAGTAAAATTGAGAGCTTACTTACTTTGAAAAGGACATTCAAAAGAGTCTGTGGCTTGCTTGACACACCTCTAAAATAGATATCAGCAAATGTGAGATTGGTGTCCTGACTGAGAAGCTCAGGTATTTCCTCTGGCTGGCAATGCTGGGAAAATAAATATAAGCGTCCATAGGTTAATGAATGTGGACCAATCACTGGGATGCACACACTCCAGCACATGCTTTATTGTGAGCATGTAAAACGGTCTCTATATAATTAATTTGTTGAAGAGGGAGACAAAAGATATTTGCTACAACCTTTAGATTGAGAGTCCTGTGCTCTATTAACAGAGCTAACCCGACATGCGGACATTCAGTCTTAGATTATCATTTGACTGTGTTCTGGCCTGCCATCTAATAGCTTAAATTTACATCTAATTGGCCCGATGCCAGATTTACTTGCCAACTTCTGATGTATGATAATGTGGAAATGAGCATTTTTTTTTCTTATGCAGTGTGTTGGCACCTACAGCTGTCGTAGAAAGTGCTGTCGGTGGCCACAGGTTCTCTTCTTCAACATGCTGGACGTCTCTGCCTACAACGCATTTGTGCTGTGGACAGCCGTAGATCCCTCCTGGAACCAGGGCAAGACCTTTAAACGGAGGCTGTTCCTAGAGGAGCTGGGGAAAATGCTGGTGTCCCCACAAATGCAACGGAGAGAGCGCCTCCCCCGCACATCATCCTCTGCTGCCATGGTGAAGAGTATGCAGAACTCAGGGGAAAGGGATCCAGACAGCACCACCAGCAAAAGGAGAAGGTCGTGCAACTTCTGCACTAACAAAAAGGCAAAGATTTACAACACCTGCAGCAGCTGTGGCAAATATATCTGCAAAGTCCACACAACATTGTTCTGCCGCAACTGCTGCTGATGAACTGAATTGAGCTCACACACCCACGCACACACCCACCCACCCACCCACCCACCCACCACCCCCCACCCACCCACTCACCCCCCCACCCACTCACCCCCCACCCACTCACCCCAGCTACCTCTGTATTTTTTTTGGGCGTCTTTTTAAATGTTTTTGTATTATACAGTGTTTTGTGAACAGAAGGTTGACCTCACCTCGCCAGCAGAGCTGAACTGCTCTGTGTGTGCAGCTCATATGGTCCTGTCATTCTGTTAAATCCGCAGGCATCAGGGCTGTAACCTACACACACACACTAGGCATGGGTTTCACTACTTGATACTTTTATGGTATTGACCAAAACAGCCTGGTATTGAGTAGAATCAAAACATCTCCAGTCAACCCAGTACTTCAATTGAGACTTTTTGTAAACGGATCATGGCAATAAATTACTATTTGTATGGTTTTGCTTGCAGCCAAACATGCAAACAACACAGTGAAAGAAAGAGAAGAGCAGCCTTTTTTCCTTATGTGCCTTCAACATTAACTGTATAATAAAAAAGGCTTGCTTGCGCCGAGTCCATGCGTGATTTTAACAGCCGCTCACCTTTGCTGCGGTCTCAGGCATGTTTGTCACTGTTGCAAGTTTAATAATTTTCCGTTGTTTACTTTCAACACAAGCTGTAGTCTTTACCCTTTTAGGCTAATACTACCAGTGAGGATGACCGAATTAGGATGAGGAGCGATCTAATACAATTTCCCAATACTTTTATGTAACAGTTATTTGAAACAAGAAAAACTAAAATGGATAAACTTGCTTTTCCATAACAATAAAGACAATAATAGGCTACCAATCAACTACTATGGCTTCAACAGGTGGCATTTTATGCAAGGTATCGAATGAAGTGATACTGGTATCAAAAAATTTTAAATGATAACCAACCCAAACACATACAAGCAACACTTACTACAAGATCAGTAAACACTGTTTGAAAACAGCACATAGTATTGGTAATATGGATGACATGAATCCTCTTTATAACAATATAGAATAGCATTAATAAGGAGGGATGCTTCTGCTATGTAGTCTACCTCTTGAAGAAAGATTGGTCAATGCCATGATTGCCTGGATATAGCCTTCCATAGACTGTATTCCACTTGACTTACACACTTGTGTCCAAACTTTTGAGCACAGAATCAATAATGAGTTTCTGCTCTGACATTTTCAGTGGCAAAATATTCACAGTAGAAATAAGCTAATACATCATTAAAAGG